GAAACAAATCTGTCAGATTGTATTGCTCTCCGGAGGTTGCAACAGAGGTAAATCTGTGAGATTTCACACGCGTAGCCGCATATACAGGAGCACAGCGAACCGGCTGGAGACGATATATGAAACACTATATAAGTGTTTAGGAAGATATTCACACCCGAGCAAATCGCTACATTTCGATGAGCGTATTCAATGCTCTCTACAAACAGATTTGCCCAAGAGCAAGGGAAATTAGTTTAGGTCCGCGACATGGCTCGAGAACGGCGAAAGAGACGGTACCTCACTCGTCTCGTTTACACATAAAGTTTGCCCAGTGGGACAATAAAAATATCAATATTAACAGCATAATAATAATCGACAAACGCCGAGGGCTGACTCGATTCCCGTGCCTCAATTTCGTGTTAATCAACAGTGTCGTCGAGCTATCGAGCAAAAGCCAACTTAAGTACGGGGCAAAAGCCCACTCAGGCAAAGCAGTATTGTACCGGCAGCAGTAACCTTCACCGCAGCCGGAATACGCGTTGGTCCTATAGTTCAGCGGAAACTGGAAGTAGAAAAGTAAAAACCTTCCATCTATTTGTCGATACGCTTACCTAAAAAACGTTGTATTTCGACAATGCCTCACGCAAATGTTTTCCGCACGAACGAGTATGTTAATGGCTAAAAAAAAAAAAAAAGACGAAGTTCCACAATTTTCAGAACTGGCAGGCGAAGGGCTGAACAGTGGAGCATGATGATAATTACGAAAAACTGACTATCTAATCTACTAACTATCCCCATGTACTAACTAGACTCCATGGTAGTGGTAGCTGGCGTAGAACGGTATTACCGTAAGCGGTATAATCGAACAGACTCGTGGATGTCGATAGCGGAAGAGAAAATAGTTAGCTCACTGGATGGTCCATTACATCTAGTTGTGAATCAATCAGTCATTAATTATCGATAGCTCAGATCTATACCAGTCGAACGATTTCTAATTAGATCTGTTCCTCGGCAGATGCGTCGATGACTCTGATAACAATCGTCCAGTGTCACAATGCGTAGATCTGTAGATCTATTGTAAAAGCCGCTGCGAAGCTCTTGTGAAGTGAACGAACGAAGGTTGACTTACACTTTCTACCACCCCCATCTAACACAGATTGCACCATTGAGGCCTAGCTATAAATGATGATACAAATTTATCCCGCAAAAGTCTCTCTAGCGATATGAGCGCATTGACCTTCAGTTGTCATCGTTCACTGACCACGTCATTTACTATACATATAAAAAAAAAAAGTAAAATTCTATAGTAAATTGTTTCCTCGCCTATTCTACTCGTTCCCTTTTGCCTTCTTCACAGTAGAAAAAAACATGATCCTGACTAGGCGGGTATGAGCCTGCGTTTAAGAAGCGAGGCTGTATGCAAACGTTCGCCAATAAAGCAGAATCGTCGTTTTTGATTACTGATATAATCACACTCCAAAGTGTATGTACGTACCGCATTCGTTGATTGGACTAATAGTGCTTTCCGTCAGTCCAGTTGATCGGATCGAAGGAAATTTTTACTAATTCCAGTAAACAAAAATGTTTCAGATTGGACATTTGTTTTAACGGTTATATTTGTGAATAGGTTCTTATCCAACAAATACCACGACTTTTTGTTTCCAGAGGCACGTAGACGAACGTTTATTACCTATTAACTACTGGGTTGTCCAGTCACTAGCTTGTAACCCAGTAGCAGCACCATTACTGTGCTACTTATGTATATATGAACGGTATAAAATTTGGCTAAAAGATGACGACAACAGCAACAAAATAGACAAGTCTAGGTATTTTTTTGTGGAAAAAGGCCAAAGCCCAATTTAATGAGATTACTTCACTTAGACTAATGATTTTTACACATACACACAGAGCGGGCAATCGTTGCCCACTTTCCATGCGGACAGAAAGAGCCCGAACCGAAATAGACTTACACACGTTTACACGGAAGTCTCCTTTTCTGATCTTCTGACACAGCTAAAGCAATCGATCGTTGCCCCTCTCCCCATTAATTTTTGCGTCACGTGTTTTCCCTATGGCGCTCGCACGGTGGTCGTAATACTAGTGTTTCACTGACTTGCAGGGTGTTCCGATCCGTTGATGTAGCTAATTTGCTTGATCACCTTTTGCATGTTTCTTCGTCGCCCGGCTTCATCAGGTGATTTGATTTTTTATTCTTTTTATTTTTTTCAGATCATTCCGCTTGATTTTCAATTGGTGGAGATCTCTTCATTGGCGGCTTTATTTGTATTTTTGATATCATCGAATTTTTCTATCGGTGCCTAGCTTTACTCGCTCTCTCCCCTTGTATTATTGTTGTTGTCCGCTGCTATCGTTGTTACCGTCTGCGGTTGTTGTCGCTGTTGACTTTTGCTTTTGACGTTGCTACCGCCAGCAATTTGTTCATCAAGACGCCACGTCAACTGAACGGTGCCAGCTTAAACACTGATTTCTATGTTCCCCTGGCTACGGGTAACAATTCCTTTTTTCCTCATACTCTCCACGTTAAACACTCACTCGATCACGTGGCATCGTACACAACTACATGCTCCATGTAAGGACCGCTCTCAGAGGACCACGTACGAATGAGCCCAATGGCGACCTACCGATAAATGCGCATAGACTACAGCCAAATTATCAACTGAGTCTCTATTATTTGTCCATTCAGTACCAAATGAACGAAAGCGTGTCGCTGCGGCCTTTCCGTGATCAAACATCTCCGCTTATTATCCAACTGGGACATTGCCACCTTCATGCCATGATCGGTTTTTGTCGCACGAGTTGTCGTTGACATTGAGATGATCACCGATATGTTCTACTGACAAATGGTTCTTTTTTTTCTGGACATCAGTCTGGTCGCTGCCAATGCCTGTGTTACTGTCGTAGCTTTAAAACCGCCAGCGCGCCATGACGCATTTTTGTTGCCACTTTGGCCTGGCTTCCGCTGATGCTTTGGCTACGCGTACATTGAATTTCTCCCGCGCCGGACCAACTGTCTGCTTTTTTTTCCCGTGGCTAGCTAAATGTACTGGCCGATCGTTCGGCAGCTACCCTATTGCCATACGTACACAAAAAGCCGAGAAAAATTGTCGCAAAATTTTGTCAGCTCACGATGTGCGCTGTGGCGGCCGGTATCGACGAGTTGATGCCGATGAGGAAGAGCATCATGGTAATTATGATGATCCTGAAGTTAATCCTGGCCGTCAGCGTTTCCAGAGCCGCTGTTACGGTAATCGCTATTCGCATAGATATATTATAGATGACAGGCTTTTAGGGGATGTCGTTCAAATACTAAGACATTGCTTTGAAGGTTGAAGAGAAGACGTCGGACGTCTGAATTCGAAATGTGGAAAGGGCTCGTAAAGTAGAAACGACGTCCCAATGTTCGCTAGATCGGTAGCATCACCTGGAACAAGAATTAGAATTTGGGTAATAGCCGTGTAGACATGGAGGTAGCGTTCTTCAGAAGGCTAAACATATTAAGGGTTGCTAAGTGAAGAGCTATTTTTTAAAAATGTTAATATTTTTAAACAGCGAATTATTGTCACGAAAGAAGTATTTATAATCTCTAACAACCATTGGGCAATGGTAAACTAAACAAAGTAACCTGTTCTTTACTCTAAAAAGTCCGTAGGGAACCAACGATTTTGCCAGTCGTTCTTTGTTTTCAGTCTTCGATATTGCACCTTGCATGAGAAGCTGTAAGAACCTCTAGGCAATCTCACTGCACGTCTTCCGAATTGTACCTTCAATATTTTGTTACATATAAATCATCGGAACAGATACCGCTTCAGGTGCACCTACAATAAGGACAATCCCGTGTGCTTATATATATATATATGTGCTGGTATGCTGGGATCGTTAGGTGCCTCGTTGCATAGCTTCTCTCGTTATACTTGATCTAATGCGAAACCGTAAAGCAAAAGGGTATAGCATCGCCAATCGATTTTTATTCTATTCCCCGTAACGTTAACACCCCATACCCAAAGTAAACTTAAGCGACTTTTTAAAGAGGTACGTTCGTCATTTTTAAGCAGTTTTAAGCGATGCATCGGCCTTCTGTCATGTTGCGGACTGGCAGACATATTTGACCAAGTTGGACGTCGACGTCCTTCTAGTTACCTTCGCCTCTATCGAAATAAGTTTTAGAAACTATAAAGTGATATTTTTCCATTGACACAAACAAGATTTCGTATGTTCATGGCCCGAGTTCGATCGTTCCATCTAAAACAACGAAATATTTACACGCGGATATCTTCTCTGCCTATGATAAAAGCTATTTTATGTACATAGACTGCCAATACAAGGCACTGCCGCAACGTGAAAGCAAGCGCATGTTTATCTGGTCCATCCGAACGCTTCTAGACAATGTCCCCTGATCATGTGTATACGCCATATTGACCAGCTCCGGACTGACGATCCGATCAATTGTCAATCGGAACGGATCCGGAGAGGACCACGATGCCAAACAACGATCGAAGCTAAAATCTGTGTATAAGCTTAGTACTGTGCATGTAAGCATCGTGCTTTCGTGCATCTAAGCTTGCGTCGACGCTCGTTCGTGTTTACATCTGGACATTTTTTTTGTGACTGTGCCACTATCTGCCACTCCGATGAAGACGAAATTATTGACTTAATTGAGCAGCCGTTTCTGATCGAATGCGCATGCACGTATAGGCGATGGATTGTCTGGCGGTGGCACAATACAGTGGCGCTGAGGTAACCGTAATCGAGTCCGAATAACCGATTCGAGCTGCTCCCAACCACTGTACAAATGTGCTCTGATATTATTTTTTCTCAACTGAAGTAAGAACTTAGTATCCCGGTAGATCCTAGTAAACCAATAGTACTTTAAAAAAGTAACAAATTATTTCACACAAGTTATCAATCGAATTTCACAAGCGACTGGACAAGGCAGTAACTGATTGCTTTTGTGTGCGCTACCTAATTAATAGATATGCGATTTCGTTCCACGTGCGTTCCAGATACGCAGAGTAACAAGGGTCCAGCGGACATCGTTGACGGCTGCCAGGGTACCCAGTTCGCGATGACCACAAACCCAGCGGAGCTAGACCAGTTCTTCAGCTCGGCGCTGAACGGCGCTGGCGTCGCCACGAATCAGCCGGATGTCACCTTGACAGCGGTTAAGAAAACGGAAGATTCTAACGACGGTAAGTGTTACCCATGGCAAATGTCTTCCCACCTTCCTCTACTCTTTCGTCTTCAGTTACCCTGCCTGATTGGACCATTTATCAAATGAAATTGATTTAATGATTCCGCTACCATGTGGCCTAGCTTGATATTCGATAGACCGTAGGATGCCTTGGTTTCAGATTGAGAAATATCTGCGATTGAGCTTCGAAAGATGAGTTTCAGTTTGACGAAATTATTCTGAGGCTACTTTTGTATCGCACACGGATTTTGATCGGGTTGAGAATATAAGGGCCCTAAATAATTGACGACTTTTGAGAAGGGCGCCGGGTTGTAAATGGGCTACTACAGTTCCAACGGTCCCTTTCTGCGTTCTCACTTTCATGTCGCTGACCACGCTAACGTCTTTCGTTCACTGATTGTATGGGTCATAAAAACCGTAAGAAGCTCCCTCGGCGATGAACCGAATCGACCAGTGAAGTCGCTCATGTACTCGTGTGATGAAATAGTTAATCAGAGCTTCGAAACAATGACCATAAACATTGAAATCCAATAGTCAATTTGTCATCAATTCACTTTTCGTTGCATCCATTTATACTTCTGGTTAAAATGGTTGCACCTCATCGAGCGTTCGGTCGGTAGCCTCGCAACATTGGTGATTGATTAAAACACTCGATAAACCTTGGAAAATGACGGGGGTCTTATTCGTACACGTGGGCCAATACATTTCATCCAATATCGAGATTTTGTGGCAAACATCGAATTTGTATTGTAATACAGAGAAATAGGCGGAGTGGAGTGGACGTTTTCAGTGAACTAATCATCAACTTTAACTTAGCGCAAAAGTTATTCCAGGGGTCGAATAGACAATGGATGTGTTGAATGAAGAAATTAAATTGGTTCTAGTGGAAAACTTACGTACGGCTGCAATTTACGGAAGACCCATCGTACGATATAGCTCTTTGATGAACTTCGATTATTTGTGCCAAACCAGTAGATATTTTTCTATAGAGCCAATTTCTGGACGTATGAACAGTTGGACCGGTTGAGCCAGTTTAGCAGAGCAAAGATTTTCTTGAGGCCTGTAGGACTAGTTAACAGCAGGACATCTTGTTGCAGGCCATGTAACAGTGTCATCTTCTGCTTATCCGATGGCTGTGTTTATTCGCTTCATAGACTCACCTGACTAAAACAGCCCTAGACACAATATCATTGTCAGCGACTTTTGCTCTTCACGATGGAAGGTCAGGACTAACTGACAGGATTCGATCGTCGCCGTCATATTCGTTTTTGGGAGCTTGAAGATGGACCGTCAGCGCTTTCGAGCTCGATCCCAGACGCCGTACTTTTTTTTGTCTACTATCATTGTAACACAATGGGGTGTTCCTTCAATCAACTTGAACCTATCGCGTCGCTATAACCGCAGCTACGGTTAGCGTATCTGTCTGCGTCTACCTGCACATATTTCATTCACCGGTATATAAAATATATAGATCTGTTGCATTATTAGTGCGCCATATTTTTCGGTACTAGATATAATCCCTCAGCGTCACCTAATGCGGCATCAAGATTATAGCAATCGTTCGTATCGGATCTAAGAATTTTTCAACGTAATCCGCTTCCCTAAGTCTTCCAATTATCACCTTGTAATCTTTATAATGACCATTATGATATTACAGTTATAATCAGTACTAGCCCCAACTACAGTAGCAATTATGTGGGCCTATTTGCCTCTGCTGTAGCAACAACTAGTAGCAACAATAACGGTATAAAATAAATTCTCTTGTATTGTACCTATACCAGACGGGTTGAGCCGCCTGTCAGCCTGACCCTACCTGCCTCTAGATACCCTCTAGACACGGTGCGCTACGGTTTACAACTACGATCCAATCTGTTCTGGTGACGGGGTCCTCTGCCGCTACTTTTTCGAGCATTATCGTACTTTACTTTTGTGGCTGATTCTTGCCGAACTACCGCCGCCGCCGTCGCATCAAGCATCCTCTTGCCCGATTTCATGTCTATCTATTGCCACCATAGTAAACGTAGCGTGTATGAGAGTCACAAAAAAGAGAGAAAAACATAGAAAAAAAAAAAAGGGGAAAGAAAAATCCGTCTGTATGAGTCAATGGATGTACGCATAGAGTACTAGCGGTATTACTACAACTATTATTGTGCGGTTCCTATGTGTGCATGTGTGTACAGAACGCATCTATCGTGTGTCGCTGCTGATGCTGTTGGGATGCCGGAGCAGCCGCGGCCTCACCGCCTTGCATCAATCGGAGGTCAGAACAGCATCAGGATCAGAGGATCGACTGAATCAGTACTCGTCGTAGTAGTCGTCTGCCGGAAGTCGACTTCCTGTGGGGCTGCTGCCTGACTGGCAGAAAGGCAGGCTTATCGCTTGGTCCGTCAGAATAAGCACCGTCATACCAGCACTCGCTGGCTTCAGATCGCGGCATCAATTTGGCTATAGCCATGGAGGTATGGCTGGGTTATGGACGGGGGAGGTTCAGGAGCATCGGATCGGCACAGTAACATCAGCCGTAATAGCAGAAAAAGCCGCAACATTGGCTTTGTCGATGGCACCGTATCACTATAGTACGGCAAATGTGACAAAAAAAATTAAAAAGGGGGAAGCAAGAGAGTATAAAGACGGAGTAATAACACAATCCCCCAATAGGCCGACGACGAATGCGAGAGACACGTACTCACTTCGGCCATTACAGTTATTGTGACGCATTTCCACAGATAATTGCTTCCATCATCGTCTCCTTGGACAACAAAGCCGGCGAGGCATTGTATCTATGACAAGGAAATTAGTAGATTCTACGGCGACAACGACAGTTGTTTGCTCTTCTTGTACTTCCCTAAGATACCTTTCTTTGTGAACACAGGTCCTAGAAATCATTTCTTCATAGTATCGTATCAAAAACTGCCCCTACTAGAAGGGGTAACCGAGTTGGGTCCCGCTGAACCTATCTAGGGGCACCTGTTGGATGTAGGATTGTTGTGGGTACAGGGGTTGATCACTGGCGTCGTGAGCAGTTGCAACAGCGGGATACTACGATGCTAATTTACACATTTCTGTACAAAGTGGGTACAAGCAGATGCGGTTATTATATGCAGAGGCACGTTTATTGTAAACAGGTCTCTGTGATCGACGGCACCATAGTTACCGTGAAGACCACTGCCGACGGTGGCGCTGGCGTTATCTGGTGCGTAAGTAGAGTGGAAATATGAGTCAAATGTTTCCCCCCGGCTGATAATTTTTCTGCTGGTTTAATTGCGAATATCGTGTATTACGCTTGGAGCGAGCCGACGAGCGGTACGTTCGCGTGTATCGTGGCGTTCGGAAGTTCTGTTGGTCGAGGCCTCAATAGCAAGAGGCTCAATGGTGAAGCGGACACTGATTAGAGAACAGAGTTTAATTAGTGTATTTAATCGGTCTACTTTGCAAGGATGTTATTTTTTTTTTATAAGTTTGCACCGGAATTATCTACTTCGAAATTTATCGTTTTCGTTTGTTGGTCGATACGTAGAAGTGATGATGCTGTTATCGTCATCAGGCCAATACAATAGACAACAGATCCCTCCTCGGGACGACACATATAAGAACACGATACACGATGATCTTAGGCCAGTCGGATAGAAATCTAACAGGCCAAGCAGTCAATTATTGTTGCTACTATCCATCCATTGTTTTAATACTTGAACGTATGGAATGACGACAGCAGCAGGTCTTCGACAAACGAAACACTTTACCCAATGATCCGAGTGCATCCTGATGATCGGCCTGCCTCCTGCAACTTTATTTGTCGAAAACGTTAATCCCTTCTTCAAAAGGCTGTATGTACAGTTCCTTAGAAACTATACCGTGCTCTATGGTACTTGCTCATAAATCTGTTCGTCTGCTGTTTGCCTGACCACACTCTCGCTGCTCTGCCGAACCCCCCAGCTCAATTCACCGTTCGTGCATCGATTCATTCTCCCGTTAAACGATTTGTCCGTGTGGTGAATAGAACCCTAAAGCGGGCGAGAGAAACTCAACCCGCGCACAGCTCCGCAAACTAGCCTATCTACCGGAAGTCTGCCCGGATGTGGGATCTTGACCCAGAGAATAGCCGAATTATTACAAGTAGCAGTGCAGTAGTCGATGCTGTCGTTAGGGTTGTTGTTGTCGTCCTCGTCGGGGTCATGCCACGAACTTGTAGAGGCCACCAACACTTCTACCGGTGGCTAAGTGTATCAAATAAGCTAGACGATTTTGCGGAGACATCAATTTATTGTTGCGCCATCCACTGCGTCTCAATGTTTCCATACGAGACCTGACGTCCTACTGGTATCACGAGCATAAAACGGCCGCAGAACTTTCGGATGCGACAAAACACAGGAGGGATAAAGAAAGCGGAGAAAGTTACACTTTCCAAGCCAATATACGATTGTAGATCCGTATGGAACAACACAGCATATATATATATATGTTGTACGCCATACAACTGCTAATACCAGAGAAACAATATGTCGTTGGGTGTGTGCTGCTAGAGGCAAGGAGATGTTCCTATATCATTCACCTATGCTAGACTTTGGTCGAAGTAAATCCTATTAGGATACAGGTCACCCTCGTAAAAAAAAAAATACTGTTAATGCTAGGCTTGTACACTACCCATAGTTGGGTATATGTATCCGACAGACTCGAGCGCCGGAGAAGAGCTGGTCAACATGTGCTGCCCGCCTCTTTATCGTTGATCAACAACCCCTCGAATGCAGGTAGATCACAAGTTGATGCATATTGAATATTAGTTTCCTACACGTTTTTGCCACGCCGGTAGACATATGACAGATGCTTGAAGGGTAACCGTCCATTTCAACAACAGTTATACCGAACCGTGTAAGAAGGATAAATATATGACCGGGGCCAAAACCACGGCCAGTTGTTTTAGACGTTTACGCTTAACTGTCGCAGTTGTCAGTTAGGTCCAAGAGTCAAATGGTTATTAGGAAGCGTGGCGACGGTAGTGTTATCTGGCAAGCCTCAAAGGGTACCATTAATATTTCGTAGGCCTTTCGACGCTGGTCAATGTTTGAATGCTGATTAATCGATTGTACTCAGATATCAGATCCAGACATCGGCATAATTTAGAAAAGCAGCAACAGTTAGTGAAATCGGAACGAACTGCTATGTTTTTGCTATCATCAAGATACGAACAGTTATTGGGCCAATTTTAAGCCTTCCCCAACTGTTTAACATTTTAAGAGCCAAACAAAGAATGATGGAGAGGCATCCGCATTTGGGGTGTGACTGCTCAGTTTATGATGTCAAAATTACAAAAACGAAAAAAAAAAACACTCTAAGATTTTAGATTTTTATTTGCCTTCTAAAGCATGGCTAAACGCCTAATGCCATTATTTTTACTATTATCATTTTGCAATTACATTATTATAGTAACGTTATTCAGCATTAGCCAGTATGAGCCAATTAGGCCCCCCCCAGCTTTACTTAACCCGTACATAGTTTTTCTTCAACTTCAAACCTTAAACAGTTTCTCATCACGAACACTGTCCGCAGTACACTATAATCATTCGGTTTCTCAGTCAATACTTAAGTTATATTCAAGTTCGCCATTAAGCATCTTCTTTTCGTCTTTATTTTGTCGACATCCTTCGACCACGCTCTGTGTAGTCGTATGCAATGTATTGTGTTCGACCTCAAGACAGGCTCTTCGTCCGTCTGGCGGGCCTTGATCGTTCTCTGTACTGCTGCTACGGCTGCAACCGTTCCCAGGCCTAACGACAGGTGTCAGTTGGCCATGGTATCCTATTGGCTGCCTTGACTACCTGTAGTCATCGTCGTCTGTTATGAATGAACCCTCCTAAAGTACATCGTATTGATGGTGTATACACCACGTTCAGTCGCTGAAGTCGTGCTGTTATCGAAACTTCTGCGTGTGGAAAGTACACTTCGTTTATGCTTCAGATGCGAACGTATGGGGTATCTTCGTTTGAGGAACGATTTAGTTTTCTCTCGTAGAAAATTTTGGCTCGACCACAGCCAGCGCTCGACTGGTTCTCTACGCACATCGAAGGTTATGTTTGTTAGTGAAATAGTCCCAACGACGATCTGGTCCTTGTTGCCATTCATCATGTGGGACTAGTCCCTGCCGTTCGTGTTCACCAGCCGGTAGATGTTTACCTAGGTGTCGTACAAGTCTCGCTGAGCCTGGACACATACACACATGCATTGCTTAGGTTAGAAGCAAGTAAGGCACAACCGTACAGAAGCGACTTCTAGCTTTCCTTTCGCTTTACCTTGTCCAGTCTCTCTGAGTCCTAAACTTTGCCGTTTGTCTGATTATCTCATCTACCATAAACGCTTCATTGAGGAGGCTCAGCAAGGTCCCGCTTAAGAGTCGTAGTATAGCCTTGCAGACCGCATTCCCTCTCGCTTTTTCGGTTATCGAAGTAGATGAACCTAGTGAATTATAGTTTACCATGAAGGAAATAATCGAAGGAACGATTTGATAGTTGGGCTATTCTCGTGGTAGATTCCACTGTTATCACTTCTGCTATTGCAGTGGGATCGCGCGTGTCCACTGAAGATTTCATTAGACACTGGTTCGTAGCGTCTACTCCTTCTCTTTGCCGTTATGGTCATCGTAACTCTGCGCTATCTTCATTGCTGTTACCTACTTTGCCGGTTTGAAATGTCACTGTTTGTCCCTTGGTCAAAATACACAGATAATGCCTATGACTAACTGTTCAAGGCTCACTGTTAATGCTGGTCCCTGCATTAGGCCTCACAGCCGACGCTGGGACCGATAGCTCCGTCGGAACTCGTTAGCGGTGGCTGTTGAAGCCGGCGCAGAACAATTGAGCAAATAGTAGTGTAGCTTTTGTCACGAGCCTCATCTAGGCTTGGCGCACCTCGATCGCACGAGCGGTTCCAGTGATGCAGTTGGCGAACTCGTGTCCCCGTACTTTATCTGTCGAATTTGTTTGCACCCTTCATCCTCAGGTTCATTTTTACTAGAACTAAACCTGATCTATAATCGGTCGAGGCTCGTATCATACACGAACAGGCACACGAGTCAGTATGGCCGCAGACAGTATTGAATAAATTTATGAGAATTTTTTTTCTTCCATAGAACTGTTATCGTTATTATTAATAGCAGTAATGTTCATGTTTGTTTACTTGAAAGAGCGCAAACAGACGTAAAAGTCGAAACATTTATTTACTTTGTGCTGTAGTGGTGGTAATTGTAACGAGCAATCGACGGCTCTAGTCAACCCTGTCCACGGCTCTGAACGCGTGTTGTGTACGAACAGGTGTTGATTTTGTTTGTTTGTTTTTCTGCAAATTTTTCCATTATGTACCGATGCAAAAATATGTGCGTCCAATCTCACTCACAGGCTGGTTCCGTCCAGTATCACGCGGGGTTGTATAGACAAGAGTAGAAAGGAAAGATGAACATGAGGGGTAGGACAAAGGATAACGGCTTGCCCGTATAGCAAATGTGATTCGTCATCACGTGTTCGTGTGCACGCATTCGCCATTTAACATTATCTACTGTTGGTGCGGACTGCGTGACAGTTCCGCTGTGTATGGGCAGTTTGCCTGTTCGCGCACGATGGCAGTGCTCCTATGCGATGCTCGTCTCTACTAAAGTCTTCGTCCCGCGGCTCATGCACGTACAGCAGCCATTGACGTGAGACAGAGAGTGAAGACACTAGCTTCTCACTATTTCTTAACGGTAGCGACAGCAGCCGGAGCAGAAGTGGCGACAGCAGCGGCGGCTGGTCTAATACCAGCCGCCAGGCGTCCAATCACTGCTCTTTCTTACGGTTCCTCCTCGCCCTTCCGGAGCGATAGTGCTCCGCCGTGCTCACGGCGACGCACTGCTATCGACAGCAGTAGCAGCGAACATATCGCTAGAGTCGCCTAGTGAACCAAGTGAGCGAGCGAGCACATACGGCCAGAACTGTTTCGCTCCGGCTTGCTCCGATACGCTCAGTTCAGGCCAGCCCTAGCCGACGGAACCCTATGTCAGTGCCAGTACCAGAATAGCCGAAGATCGGACGAGTGAGTAAGAGGGAGAGAGTGCAGGTCCGCTCAGTCGATCAAATTGGGGGAGAAGACCTGCTGCTGTTGCCGATCCTCCTGCTGCTCGTGGAGGTACTCCTCGATGAATGAACGTAGAAACTATAGAACGTAACTACGAAGACGACTGCCGCTACTTCTGTCGCTATTACGCTAGCAGCTACGGGGCTACTACGCCCGTCGTAGCCGTCGACGCTGCTGCTGCGGGCGCCGCCGCTGCCGCCGCCGCTGCTTCTTCTGACAGCAGGAGCCAAACACGAAAGAAAAGACTGAGAGAGGAAAGCGACCCAGATGAGGCCGCCACTTCAGCAAGTAGCGGCTGCCCAAACGCCAGCAGCGAGAACAACAGCGGCCGCAGTTTATCACGGTCTCAGTTACTACTGAGACAACTCGCTTTAAACAATCAGTGTACATTCAGAACTCGACGAGCGCGGACCGACAAAGGACGGGTACCGTCGCCGAGTTGAAAAGAACAACTCCCGTCGATTGACAAGGTTGTTCGTTGTCGTCGATCATATTTAACTGAAGCGACGAAGTTAATGACTGGTCGGTGGTCAGTGGTCAGTTGAGGTGCAGCCTCTGGAGTAGATGCTAACTTGTGCTTCAGCCATTGTCACTCGTGCTGATTCATCCAAACGAAGCAGCTCGTTTCAAACAAAGGACAATCCGCTATTTGGTAGGATCGATTTACCGTGAAAGCTTGTGTTTTCTTTATTGTGGTGTGTGACTGGAGATCCTGTGTGTTAAATCAGTACTTCCACCCTGCTTTCTCCCCGCTCGCCCCCTTCGGTTAAACCTGCCCGACTATCTACTCCAATACCCCCCCCCCCCCCCCAGCAATCTTTAAGCGTACCGGTGAAGGATTGCAACCAGCTAAGGATTACAATGTTACTATCGCCGGTTACAGGAACGGCGTTCGATTCGACACGCCTTAACGGATACCGACTGCCAGCGGACGTTCAAATCAAGGTCGAGAAATCCGACTGTGGTAAGTGTGAGTTGTTGCTTTCGGAGCTTCCGATGTAGTGAGTCCACCTGATGAAGGATTGGACCAGATCCGAAGCGGATCCCCTTTGCCCCCTTCCCAGATTGATGCTATGGTCGGCATTTGGATATTGTTGGTTTGCATCCTCTGTTCGAGAAGAACAAAACAAAAGCGAAGGCCTATTTTATCTGGTCGTCTTACTTTTTTCCACGTCCTCACATCCTCATCTGTTAATACCTGTACACCTCATCCATCATTCACCCACTTCGGTTTTCAATCCAGTCTCTCATTGTATTTACCTTTAATTGTCACACGCATATCTCCTTGCATATGTAAATATTTACCCCACGAATGGTCAATTTTTTGCTGGCTGCTCAACCCTTGGATTAACGCTCTAGCGTCTTTTTGCATAATACAAAAGGCTTATTGATATAGCCTTGTGGTCTACGAGAGAGCTCATGATTTTTCCACGTCCTTTCCACCTATACTTCTTGCTAATTTGAGAGTTTGGCTCAGTTGCATGGCACTCGTAGTTTTCCGATCGTACCTATGATGCCTTTCTACGCCTGATAACCTGATGTCTTTCCAGTTTTAATTAAATGTTCTATCAGAACGACCCTTCATCTTTGGCACAATCGCCCATCTGCATCGGTCTGATCTACGCGAGTGACTATTTTTTTGACTGGTTCGCTTTTGATTTTCATCTATTTCTTACGTCTATGTGTATGTTCCGCTCGACACCTGACTACCTCCTGACCTGGCTCCCCACCGGTGCGCTTAACCGCATCACAACATTCAACCTGTTGCGCGCTCGATCGTTCCCCGGCCGTCACCATCGATCGTTCCCATGACCGTTCTCCGTCGCTCTTGGTGTGGTCGTTGAGTCTCTACGTGCAGCGCACATGCTTACACACAGACATGAATCTATACACACAAATATTACCAGCCAAACAGATAGACACGGATGGAGACAAGAAAAAAGACAAAGGAGGACACTGATAGTTTCACCTAACACAAGGCACATACATACATGCATACACACACACACACACACACTTAGATAAACAGCCGACAGTCAGCTAACACTCTCTACCAGATCCACGGTACCAGCTGGGTTCCGGCGCAGACGGCGCTAACCTTTCGAAGACGACGGCGGCGGCTTTAGCACAGGCACCAGCAGCAGCCAAACCTCTGTGTACGGGTTGTGCCAGCATGGGGACTCTACTAGGCAGCCAGATACGCAGACAGAAGTAGTAGGAGCAACCCCAGTTGATCTACGACGACTGGATTGCTGGCCACTGCTAGGGGCTGCTACTTATTTGTTGTTTAGCTCTTCCGCTGACTGTTTCGTATGGAGCACAACGAGTCACAGCAGGCCGCATCCTCCGTAGATCGCTTCTATAGTAACTCTCTGCGAAAAGATCCTTCTTTCTTCTCTTTAAGGTTTGCGTAGGCTTGAGATGAGCCGGACGTGCTGCCGTAGTAATATCAGCAGAACTAGTAGCGGTCATAGTATTAGTTGTAATAGCAGCCTGGCCACGTTGTAGCCGACAAACATCAGCTGCTCCTTGTGCTGACGACTCGTCGACACGTACGTCTACGCGACTAATCGTCGAAGGATAGGCTTTACCCTATTCGAGCGCAAACAGATAGCCAGCCAGCACAGGCTACATGGACCTGTATGAATACATTAGTATTTGAAAAGAGAAGGCCGCGAAATGATCATGTTGGTTTGGTTTGGTTGTTTTACTTCGAATGAGAATCGCCGATTACGCCGATCCTTAACGATGTTTCGAAGGCCAGCAGCGGCATCAGTGATAACTCTGACTTCAAGGAGACAAAGCTGAAATACAGTATTCAAGGCGGTCTGAGTCAGTTTCCGCTGAGGGCCTTTTGCTTATTTCTGGCGAGAAAAGGGTAACTAAGCTCCCGGTGCTGGCATCGTAGCGGCTGTGGTAGTAGTAAAGAGATACAGCTTTCGTAGAGTACTTATGCCGATCGTTTTACTAAGATCAAAGACCAAAACATTGCAACCGCGTCAAACAACGCCTGCTAAACCTCCATACTGTGGAACTCCTACAAGAGAACTATTACTCGTAGCCTTTCTTTATCTTGTAGATAAACGCGGCTATCTTGAATCTTTACTGTTTGCTGGAATTATAATGGCGACGGCTTCTCTACGCTCAATAATCAAACTACTAAAAATAACTAAATAGGCAATTAAAGACAGACAACTATACATATATTCAGTGATCCTTATCGGTATTTTATTTTCTGTTTATTTATTTTGTGGGTCGGAAATATTGCAGGCTACCTGAATGATGCGATGACGGGAAACTCGGCCCCGGATGCTTCCCCCGAAGTTATCGTCGGCTCAGGATACGAGGATCAACATTACGGGCCTGATCCTAGTCAGTACTATCCTCCGTACTACGACCAACCCCCGGAGTTCTACCCATCAACGTCGTACCATAACGCATCGTACAATGATGTTAAAAACGTATCGACATACACCCACAAGAACCTCATGGCGACTTCGCCCTCATCAAATTCGCCTATCGTACTCAAGCCCAGTAGCAACAACAATAACAACAACAATAACAACAGCGGCAGCCCTACTAACAACAATAACAACAATAGCCCATTTCCTATCTCGATAACAAGTTCACTTCTAAATGTCAATACCCTAAACAATAACACGTTGCTAATTAACAACAATGCAACAGGAACGAATAGCGGGAATGGACAGCAGACCATGGGAAACTTCTTCGACTCATCACCGTACGATCCCCAATTCCAAACCGTGCCTCAGGTAAGCGCCAGCGTGCTCAGCGCGGCCGTTCAACAGCAGCAGCAGCAGCAACAGCAGCAGCAGCAGCAGCAGCAGCAGCAGCAACAACAACAACAAGCTGCCAATAGCCGGCAACAACACAGTGGACTCCAGACGCTCCACCAAAGTCGTGCCGACTCAACCTCACCGCCAACACCCTGGGGCGGCGTACAGAACTGTTTACAGCAACAGCAGCAGCAGCAGCAGCAGCACAGTCCGCCCCAAACGACGATTACGCCTATAGGGGGAACTCAAGGCGCGCAGAGGTTCGTTAGCACGTCAGGCGCTGGTACCGTCTCAGGTAACGGGAGTAATCTTAATGGTGGAACTGGGCAGACCGGTGGAATCGAACCGTTTCATTACGCTCCGTACTCGCTGCAACGGTATCAGTTCTCAAACTATGCAAATGACTCACGACCGTTCATCCAGGCGTCAGTGCTGGCCGGAAGTGCCCCTATTCAGCTATGGCAGTTTCTGCTCGAGTTATTAACAGATAAATCGTGCCAGAATTTCATCTCTTGGACAGGCAATGGCTGGGAGTTCAAGCTTACCGATCCCGATGAAGTCGCTCGTCGATGGGGCCATCGTAAGAACAAACCGAAGATGAACTATGAGAAATTATCCCGAGGACTGCGCTATTACTACGACAAAAATATCATTCACAAATCATCAGGAAAGCGTTATGTGTACAGGTTCGTTTGTGACCTTCACACGATCCTTGGCATTACAGCGGAAGATCTACATGCGGCAGTCAATCTTAAGACGGATCCAAAGAAAGAGGACGAACAAAGCCCTTTGACAATTACCCAGTGTTAATTAACTGCTTAATGAGGGAGCAAGAGAGAGCTGTAATACCATAGCTTGTCTTTACTTCAGCCAAACGTAGCAATTGCGCGCAACACCACGTATCAACAATGACGGTACAAAGAGAGTCAGGGCAGCAACGACTAATGGCAACCTTTGCAAAATTCATTACCAGCTCGTCGTCACTGATAAAATCAATATATCGTAATGCACCATAGTCGAAGTCCTCTGGCTTCGTTCACTCTTCTCCCGCGCGAGCATCGACTGTTACGCTAGACGTAAGCTAGGGAAGTTGAGGCGTTAACCATAACAAAAGGACCAACGGGAATACAAAATCAAATTAGGAAAAAAAAAACAAGGTCTAAACGCGAATCTATGAAAAAGAAAAAAAAAACTTTATTCGTTTATAAACATTATTCTACCCGACTGTTGTTGATTGACACGCTTTTAAAGGACGTACCGCCTGGGCGCGATGTGTGGGCCAAGACAAAGATATATCCCCTTGTTATAATGCTATAATGTAATGTAATCAAACCTCTATATATATAATAAACGGCGGCCTAGTGAACGACTCATTGTTGATTTCACCTAAACTGCAATCTCTAAGAACGTATTGCAGCGCCGTACGAAGCCGCGACATGAACTGACTGAGGTCTTATAAACTGAAAGTAACAAAGAGAAAGAGAGGGGAGGGAGGGAGGGAGGGAAGTATAGAGAAAATGGTGGAATTCTGTCAAAACAGTTTATTATTTGAGACAAAGGAGCACACTCGTCGTCCATTACGGTGACCACAAAGCATTGTGTCAGATTCCGCCATTTGGGAGGCACAAGGCGGCGATCTTAAGCACCCATACAGTTTACGGCCTCTATAAAGCTTCACTTCTGCGTACTGGCTGATAAACGCCACGTGGTATATACTGATAACAGCGTCCGTTGTTCTCGTTAGGTTGCGCAGTCCTTATTACAATATGAAATATCGAAACGTTTTCGGACGAGTGTACAAAATGAGGATGATCGCTTGGTGCGTATGGAGAAACAGTGGCAGCGTAGACATTGGATATTTGCAAGCAACGAACGTGTCTAAACGGATAAGACAAACTGCACGGATGCTTGCGTATAATTGCACGCGGGGCCCATAATCACGACACATTACGATCATAATCATCATCACCACGATGCATGAGGGTCACCGGTTTGATGCAATACCTGTGATCTCAAAGGCGGTACGTCCCATTATTTCGTTTAACGTTACGACGACGACGACGACGACGATATAAAGAAAAGCGCGACCCCATCTTCATACGACACTGGAACGGACTTTGTCTTTGATTTCGAGGTATATGAACGCTCTTTTTTCACGAGAGACGCACTCTCGACCGTAAAAAATGAAGACGTTTTTCCGAGGCGACCAGTCGTGATATGATACGAAATCTGTGCTGAAGTGCCTTATGGTCATTAAGACAAAAAACACCAAGTAAAAGTACATAAAAATAGTATTTTCCACGTAACGAAAAAAACACGCGGACCAGTGGTACTCTTAGCTGTGTGGAGTGACAAGCCCATAGACTGGGTCCGTTTCAAGTTGTGTTTACAGCTATAAACCGAAGCAGATGGGGTCGTTTGTTGAAGTATTGTACATACGATGCAACGTAATATATATTTCAAGGATATTTATTCTATTAAAAAGAGAGTACGGAAAAACTGAGGGGCAAGAAAATAAATACGGCACACAAGAGAAAAATAAGCACTTGTGGAAGACATACAAAGAACAAGTAATTATATAATAAGAACGAGATGCAGTGGAAAGTGAGCTAATTAAATTAATAATATTCAAATAGTAACTATAATACTATTATATAATAATGATGAAGATGGTGGTGATGATGATAATTACGGTAATAATTATGTCGAACGAATAGTTGAACATGTGTACAAACCAAAAATAGATAGAAAAGGAGAAAAATAAACTTACAAAGTTCTATGAAAAAAAAATCTTGTCTTGGAATACTCTTGGAAATAATATAATTTGTATACAATAGGTATAATAATAATGTGTATTAAGAAATGTTTATCTCCAGCTAAATAATAATAAATCAAGAATTATTAGGCAAAGTATAAACAAGCACTTTCCGAAACAATCCTCGATCGGTATGTAAATGTTCTAAGGGGTTGTCTTGGAATCCTTACACTCATACAACAGGAAGATAAAGAGCAGTTCACTAATACTTGAGCAAGTGTCCTCATAACAGCCCCTTATTAATATTGCCTCACCCCCGCACAAAAACTTTAATTATCTTTATTACAAAAAGGTATTGATTCTTCATTATTATCAAGCGATCGATACCAGTAACATGTCGACATCGAGATACCTTCGCCCACTAAATCATAGTAGTGTCCAGTTAGATACTCTGTAGCCAAAATAAGATTATTCTCGTATTTCGAAGAGTTTGTCATCGATTTTTATTATGAAGTAATGCATTCAAGGCTAAATGGGCAAAAAAAAACCCAGTGACACTTCGGTTGTACTGAGAAATACGGAACTGTCCTTTATGGCATAAAGCAAACACTTTCGGTAGCTCCCAGCGTTTTTGCCCGTTTAAAATAGTGTTACATGCTGCTACTCCGTAGAACTTCTTATATTCGCTGCGTAATTAAGGTTTCCTCAGACATCTTAATTATGCATTTCTTAATTTAGAACTTGGACATTCCAACGATCCGCTAAAGTTAATTGATAAGTATTAATGTTTACTACTCTAAAATCGTAATCCGCTTTTCTAAGCAGCAAAGTCCTTGTTACATGCGCAAAGAAAGACAAAGTGTTCACTGTCCCCTACCGAACTCTGCCAGGCCGAGTGATATACAATAAGTTCTATTTGTTGTTAGTGAGACTGGTTATTCAACGAAGAGATTACGTCAAATTTCATATCCTGGGGCTTCTAACCAACCGCTATTGGATCGAGTGAGCCCTTACGTGCGAATTGAAGAACTATACCTTCCGGTATAGTTCCTGGTAGCCCGGTATGTTATTTAGTCGATATAACTGCATGGCTATTGTGACTGTATAAACATACTAGATTACGATAAAATTCACTATCTGCACAAAAATAATATTATTTATTTGATTTACACGAATTCGAAGGAGTAATTAAATTGTAACACTTAGGAAATCAGATCCAGAACCGGGACAGCGCTTTCGTCGACAAAAAGGCCGCCGCCGCCGCCGCCGCCGCCGCCGCCGCCGCCGCCGCCGCCGCCGCCGCCGCCGCCGCCGGCTAAAACCACACGGGCATCGAAATCATGTCGCGTCCGTTTGATTACGCTTGAGAGGCCATCGCGACGTCATTAGAGCATATATAACGTGACCATAATTAATAATATAGAAAAAAAACTAGCTACAAGAACATGTGAAAGATCGTGGGCGGGTCATGCAGTGGCGTAGGAAGTAGCTTTCTACCACAGTTCGCATTACTCTGTCCGTATCCTTGTAGCCGCGCAATGGTGGGGTATTTGCAGACCGCTGAAAATTTGAATTCGGGCGTAGACGTGTGACACACCGTAAGTTAGTCATCTGGAGCCGCGCCTACCGGGAATGACGCGCGTAATATTCGAAAGTGTTATCAAACCGATTTATGTTAATTTGTAGTTGCATCTAATACGTATTAAATTATGCTTATACTAAAAGCAAACTGGATTCATCTGATCACTGTTGTTATCAGAAAAATATATCAGGTCGGTTTGTTTATTCGACTTCTAGAACGAAGAACTCTTTTCTTCACGTTAAGGCCATCATTGAACGCAACGTGGGTTTTGAGCTTCGTAAGTTACTATTATAACACTTCGGTGAAGAGACGTAGCATTACTACAAAACAAATATAGCCATTTGTTAAACTCATTGTTTGGTTCCTTTTCCAAGACGAACCTTTATTTGTTCGACTTGATTGTTAGCGTGTAATCTTTGCGTTCAAGAGGCAAGGATGACCTTATTATGTTGTATTCAGTTTTGGTAAGTTAGAAATGATCCGCTTTACCCGCCACCTTGTTCGTCTGTGTTTTTCTACTGTAATCTTCTAATTCGTAAGTTCAACGACTTCCTTTGCAGGCAGACAAAACAGAAAGATTCAAGTTATTAACATCTGTTATATACGTACATACATCTCTAAATAACGGACATGTTATATCAAGCCAATTACTCTAGTTTTAGCTAGAACCAAAAGCTATTGCAATTGAGTCTATATAAATTCTCTGGCTGTTTCCTTCCCTGTAGTCTTGCTTGACACAGACGTTAGGGCATACCTGCCACAGGGGCGAAAAACTTAGCCCTTTGAAATTTTAAATGGGGAACGAGGTTTTGGAGCCTCATTTAGTTAACGCGGCATTGCCACTACATACTTAAAGCTTTATTTCTCACGGCGGTTCTTACAAAGCTTGAACGACGCCAGAGTAAGACGTGCAGGGATTTCGTAGGTAAGTGGTGGTGCCAGTTTCTGAAGAACAAACACGAATCCTCTGTGATGTCTTCATGAAATTTGTAATTACGCGTAACGCATTGGTTCCAGGGAAAATCAACTTCCTTGAGTTAGCCAAAAGCGGGCTTATTATTTATTGAGGTTAATGAAGAGTTCACTACAGAAGAACCAACCAGCAGGTGCCGATAGTGTTTCGAAGTTTTGCTTCGAGGGCACGAAGCAATAAAGTTGAGGACACTATGAGGACACTATGAAAATTGTGACCCGGACAAATAACTCGTTCGAATGCCTTCACGCGTTTGGGAGCGACAGTGTCGTCCGATATAAGCTCGTCGTTTCGACAGCATATTATAGCGAGGGCAAATCATCAGCGGTTATAGCAGTATCTATTGGGACACGCTATTCAATGTGTCAAAATAGAGCTTGGGTTATCTAATTTCAAAGTTTGCCTTGCCAATTTTCTAAGACTGTCTAACAGCAAGGCAAGTTTTTTGCCCAAATTGGATGGAGCAAAAGTTCCTCGAAAGAGGTTTAGGATAACACCCCACCTCGGTAAAGCAGTTGGTCTACCTATCATACGACATGCCATTACTGGTCGGCGTTTAGCGACCTTATTTGCAGATAGGAAAATACAATGTTAGACCTATCACATTACCTAGATTTAACAAATACTATTTATTTGTTCATTTCATTTTAAAGATGTCTGCTTCAACAGCAGGAGATGTCATAGAGCAGTAGCAATGTCCGGGACTGCGATCAATACGCCCTCCCGAATGCCTAAAGAATAAGTAAGGTGCATCAGAGGTGCAAAGAAAGTGCTGAACTTTACGTTCGACTCTACTATAGTTAAGCATTGATTTTGACAGCTGGTTCTTTCAAGCAGGAAGTGAAAGGTGACTACGCCAGGTTTCAAACCTCGACGAACATACGTTCCATAAGCAAACATGTTACTACTCCACCAACTCACGAGGATCAAATTTGAAAAGACTCGAACAGCTTAAAACGAAGACATATGCCAACTGACAAAGCGGCAAGACCTGTCGTACATGTATATAAAGAATGAGCTTGTGATATCAGTTTATGTCCGACCAATTAGTTTAAAATATATCCATATTCAAAAATTAACTATAGCCAAAATTTAATATGATAGTATTTAATAAATCGTAGCAAATCAAGTGTTCAATCTCTTTAAGGAACTGATGGACTGACCTCGGAAGTAGATCAACAACATGATGAAGGCCATTTAGAAAATAGGACAGGAAACAACATCAAAATCACAAAGTTTCATTTGAAAAAATCGGATAGGGTTTTGACATATTACACGGTAAATTCGCTTGCCTAAATGATAAGCTTGTTTTCGATAAGCGAAGGGTGAAACACAAGGTTATGACGCTCTACAGAGTGGGGCGACTCGTGGAGTGGGAGATCTATCAGAGAATCAAGCTCTGATCGGATAAATTAAAAACAATGTTGAGTAAGTGGTGAAAAAACATATTCATCGAGATATAAATGGAGTATCGATAGATTTTATAAATATCATTTTCTAAATAATGCGCAACGTAGAGCTAGCGTGGATCGCGATCTAGGAAGGTTTTTGATGTCTGTGCATCAAAATTCCGACTTTTTAGTTAATTGAAAAGGTACATTCGTCCTTCTAAGTGGCAGCGTGTTAATATGCCTACTCTGAGTAGATTATATTTTGTTTCATACTGATGCATTTCACTGTCTTTTTGATTTATAGATTTATTTATCTTCTAGCCTATTGTATAGGCGTTTGTTATACTCTTAATGGCAAATACGTACCGCATCTATTCAATTCGTTCTTTAAAACGTTTTTAGATAATAAACAATATATTCTAATTAAGTGGTCTTTTTTTGTTTAGCATAACATTGATAAGCCGTTGAAAATTATACTTACGTTAGTAGCGAAATATTATGTTATTTTGTCATACGGGATTCTTTAATCTCTGTCCCTTTCTCCCTAACAGGCTAGTAGTATAACGGCAATTTTCTAGTATAGTAGCAATAAAATCTTTAAATATCGTGCAACGTTGAACTTGGCAGAATGAACGGGAATAGGTTTATTTTTCGCAGCCAGAAACCTGCCTTGTCTACCTTTGGGACGAGCATATCTGAACCTTTCCGTATTTTATGGACTATACTCGTTTATAAACATATAAATAAACAGGTAATTGTGAAAACAAAAGCTAGGGTTAAGATCATATGCCGAGCAATCTTGGTCTTGTAGCAACCTTTCATGGTTCAGATAGCATCAGAATGAAATGGGAGCAGCTGAGCCCACGTGGGAAATTCTTAAGTTGTTATCGAAATTTGGTCGTTTAGCTTCTTGGTTCTAGAGAGAAGGCAAACAGCTAGATAGTCTATGTTTTGACTTAATTTACCGGCTTTATAACATTTCGGATCGCCGTAATATGGCATGTTGATGATACACAGAAATAAGGCCTATAGGTTGGGGAGGGCGGAATAACAGTCTAGGGTTGAAATCTGGCGTAAACACACTGTCTTGTGCGTGAACGAATAGACGTTTTAAACGATGCTCAACGCCAACACTGGACATGAAGCAATTATTGTTTCTAAGGTTTTGCCGATCAGCCGAAATTTTGGTAAGAGGGAACAGCTAGCCATTCGTACTTGTCATCAGCGGGTCACTGTGCTTCTGGCGGGCTAACCGCATTTCGAAATATCCGAAATATTAACGGAAGTTGGGTTTGTTGAAAACAGAAGCGTTTTTAAATCATCCGTTCTATTCCGCAGATTTGTGTTTATTAAAATCAACATAGAAGTACACAGCTTGGAGCTGGCCGTCTAAAATAATGCCTATCGGTTTATAAAAACGCTTATTTAAAATAAAAATACAAATTCCAACAGGTCTCCGGTGATAAGCGAATATTAAACGCATAACAACAGCAAAAAGTCATCATTTTATAAAGCTTGGAAGTCGGACATCGTAGCTAAAGCGTTTTTACGATGCGATAGCATTGTCGAAGCTACTTAGAACACCGTCATATTTGCCTTTTTAGTGCCCACATGGAGGAGCTTCATAATAGTAGCGTAAGCGCTAGGGATGGCTCTCACGCGTGCCTGTTGCCCACCAGTCGAGACTCGCTCGTGGAAAGTTATCATAGGAAATACAAGATATTACCGTTGGAACCTAAAGACGACCTTTATTATAAGCATAATTTGCTACTGCAGCATTTGACAGCTTTGGTCAAATAGGCGAAATTACGCATCCCAGCTTGGGTTCGTTTTGTTGAAAGAAAGACAATATATATTCGTGTTAAACAAAAATATGTACCAGGGTAGCACCTTGGCGTAACTCTTGGTCTGGTCGTCAATCAAAAAAAGTATACATACATATGTATAATACAAGAAGAGGCAACGTTTATAAGCATTTAGAGAGTTGACAAGTTTTTGGCAGTCTCAAACACACAGTACGCAAGCGCTTTCTGAGCAGGCAACAATTAGGTTGACACTGAAATTTATTTTTAGCTACCCTCTCCAGACTAGCCGTTTTTCTTTCTTCTAACTCATTCGATATGAAAGATATGAAGACGTTTGATTATTTAAAAAAAAAAACAGGAAATAGATAATCTAGGCGGAAAATCTTTGGAGAAACATTTATTTTTGATAATAAGCGCGTCGTTAAAAACAAGCCAACAAAATATGTTTGCACCGACCGTGAGGATTTGGAATACTCTAGACACCCGGAGGGATTTTTTTCCGGTTCGTGTTTTTTTTTTTACTTAACGTGTATGCGCTCAAATAGGATAATCTATTTTTCGAAGTAATGATTTATCTAGAAATATTTGAAAAATTGACTTCGAAGAGAAACCTTTTTTAAAATCTTGTTAAGGACGCCTAAAAGGCGTGACCGTCAAAACTCACAAATATCGTACAAAAAGCTGAGAGAAATGTTTTAACCGCTGGTCGATTTTATAGACGATAACTTTAATCGGAATTTAGCTTTTTAAACTGTTTAAAATTTAAACTGTGAAAATTGTGCAAATAGCAAAAAAAAAGTTTGAAGTTTTATTTCAATACCAGATCTGTTTGAATATATACTTAACCTAGAATTATTTTTATTAAGGAGAATGGGTAACACATGCGATTCGTCAGAGATTTGCGAGATCAAGAAGAGTTCATATGCAACTAACGATAACACATCTAGTATTATTATTAAAATAAACTGGTCATTATGTATAAACGATCAGGACATATCTAATTAATTGATTTTATTTTTGATCCTCATTTCTTCGATTCAAAGAAAAGTTACAAGACGCCAAATCAATGTTCACTTCTTGTAACGATCTTTATAGCGCTATTTTTGGCTGATGGAAACCAAAATGATCCTTATAATATGGAGAACTTAGTAGCAAACTTTAATGACATCAACTAATGATGTATTCCCATGTTTGCTTACTTTGTTTCGAACATTTTCTTTGTAAATAGGAAATAATGATTTTTGTTACTATAACCAGCCAAGATTGTAGAAAAATTTCTCTTAAGCCTTTTCATGTATTCCACAACCCCCAACCGAAAAAAAAATTTCGCGAGGTTCCCATTAAATCTTTTCATTAGCGGGACCAAACGGCTATCGGCATTAAACCTTATTGAATAGTTCCGAGTTTTACATTCGGTGTTACCGTCTCAGATGAGCATTGCTTCGGACGACAGGCTCTCACCAGCACGAAACGAAGTGTATTTCCTGCCGGTTTTGAACGTCTTTTTTTAAAGAGGTACAATCAAATGCATGTATGCACAACTGGGACACTCCTAAAGTAGTTCACAATACGGGACTAAATGGCCTATATCGGACTTATGCCGCACTTCGTGTTCCTAAGGTTAATTTGCCACAGGACTCCTTTAATAAGGACTGCACAGCATCGTCTAAACACCCTAACTACAACTCTTACTCTACCAGTACAACTCTTCTATTTACCTGTTACACTACCTTTGTTATCTTGTCGCAGTTAGCCTTGTTGTTTTATTATACAATATCCTGTCATAGCGTTTTGGTTGATATAATGTCTATGTTATCGCGTTACTTTAGGGTACTATTTAACTTCTCTACGTTAAAGTTGGACCTAACTTGAGTGCACTGCTCAAGTTGATCGTTCAGTTACCCTCACTCTGTGCAGATGTCACAGATATTCGTAGATGCCTATGGCAAATGTCGCTTTCCCCTGCATCGATTATTCCAGGCCCCTAATACAGTTGCGCCATTACTGTGCCGCCATTATCTTATCGCCAATTCAAAATAAGTTCGCCAGCTAATCGCAAAATTAAGCCAAACCATGTTTAGGTTTTTCAATATTAATTCGATCTTTTCAATTATGTGTCAGCATCAGGCCGCTGAAGAGGCTTAAGAAGTAAGCTATATGAAGACGTCGCTATGTCTTAAAAACTCTGACCGGTTTTTCAAGTAGCCAAAGATTCGATTGTAAAACCGGGAAAAGAAATGAAACTTGGGGCTAGTTATTAAACAATGCTTGATGATTTGGGAACGTTTTTGTGCCAGCCTTATAACGCATAGCATTTCAAAAAAGGCCAAGTTTTTTTCAGTTTTGAAGGAACCCAATACAGCCTTTGTACCAGGATGTCATTTAGAAGTTTTTCCAAACATTGACGTGCTCATTACTTCACTTTCTGGTCACCTACTATATAATCGGCACCAAGAGATAACAGAACTAGTGCATAATTATTAACTATCCCATAGCAACACTTTATCGCAATGGAAGCATGCGGTGATTAGCCTAGAAAAACTAGCCACTTATCTCAAAGTCTCGCACGATATCATTAAAACAACATCATCTAATTGTTGAAACGAGTATTCCGTTTGGTAGGCTTATTGGAACAGACTTATGGTTATTCAACCAGAACATTGCAACACAATAAGGTCATTTACAACGCGGTTATAGGCGTAGTCTAACAGAACGGAGAATTGAAAGTTTGCAGCGGATTCGAATTTCGAACTCTGCTCCGGGCCGATCAGGTCTGAACTCACTAGGATAGATTAAGAAATATAATTGAATAGTGTGAAATCGCGTCCGATTTTCAAGCTTACCAGTATTCCTGTACGGAAAACGGCTGATTAAGTGCCATTCATAAATAAATAAAGGCGCATTTTGTTAAGGGATGGTGGTATTTGTTTTCCACATAGATCGAGTAAAAAGTTTCCGTGATGATACAGCGGTAACGCGTTTGTCTGTCCTACTTAAGGACGGCCGATGAATGGCCCAGGTTTAAAACCGGCCGTAGGCATACGATTTGCTTCGTACGGATGGCAATGCTAACTAAGGCAGTACCAACCTTAAAAGTTGAAGGGGCCAAGTGGAGAAAGCCTGTCTGACCCTATACGAATAACATACAGTTAGTCACAAGCTGAGTAATTAATTGCCAATGAAAATCGCTTGAGAACCGTTGTAGTGCATAAACACTCTTCTGTGAAACTCTTTAGTATAAAAGGAATTCAACCAGTTCAGTTAGTTTTTGAATCCTATTAAGCCAAAAAAAAAAAGAACTATTTATACCTAACTACTTTTTCATTGTGTTAAGTAATTTTTTTCTCTGCTTAGTAGTTTTATTGAATATACGTAATTTACATGCACAAAATAACGATCGCGTACACATATTTTTCAACACAACGAAACGTCCGCGCCGCGGTGTTGAACATCCGTTTTTACGCGTGACAAGCATGGATACTCACCACTATTCTATCGGGGAATACACTTACACCGCTGACAGACGTTAGGTAGGCTTCGAAGTGAGAGTGTTTCAAGCCTGCATCCACATTCATGGTTCCGATCAGGTAACGGTTGAAAATGTTCGAAAAAAACAAAAATCAATATTTGTCATCGATCAAGAGATAGAAATTGTTACGTTACATTTTGCGTAGACGTATGAAAGCGCAAACATCCAATTACCCGATAAATGGTTCGTCAGGTTAACGACAAATCAAGCACAGCTGGGTAGCATATAAAGGCAAGGCTTTACATTCTCTGCTAATACGATGTAAAGTATAAAACTGGGCATCAAGGACCGGCTCATTTCTTCATTAATCCTTCGGTTCGATTAGGATATAATGTGCTGGCGACATTAGTGACTGCCAGAGACTCTTAGCGAGGGGGTCTAGGTACGAAACTAGAGGTTCAACACACTTCGCTTGGTGCTGAAAGTCCGGTCGTCCTTCCCAGTGCAGTATGCTCGTGCCGTCCTCACGTATGGGTGTTTACAACCCCTGAAGACATTGAAGCACGGGCTTATTTTGGGCACTTGATCAGATTCTCGCAACCGCTGCGCAGGCGATCCGATACTTCGCTTGATCGTACCGGCTGAAGGTCACATGTAATTGTAGCGCCGAACAAAAAACTCAACACCTTCATGTAACTCTATTTAGGATATGGTCAAGTAGCTTGTTCAGTATAAATTATCTCATCAAATAGCGAAACGTAACAGCTGCTTTGTTAAATTCGAGATGATTCTAGCAATCAGCAAGTGAAATTATACGTAACTAGCTAATGAAACTCGTATCTTAGAAAGAAGCTAGGATGTCACACGCGAGCACATCGTTCCAGGAACATCGATGCAGCAGCGTCTCAAAAAATCTCTGATAATTGGACGAAAATGTAGCTTAATGAAAACAATGGGAGGCCCTATTATATCAATCTGGTTGAACTCTAAGAATTGATTGCAATAGAAGTTCACAAAATCTGTGATATGCGAATGCGCAGTTGAGCCTACGTTGGTTTACAACTCGGCCTTTCATTATAGTTAGAGATCGTTTCGGCTACTTTTCTTCTGGTCTGAGTGATAGTCAACTCTACCAAAATACAATTTTAAATGATAGTGTTTTACCTAATTAAAATGCACTATTAGAATAGAAAGAATAATAAAGCAAACGATTTTTTTTCATATTCTGTTCCGCTGAAAATTGATAAAAACGATACCAAAATTTCAAACGTAACTGCCTCCTGTGTATAGGGTCTGGCAAAATCTCTTAGCATTGAGGTCATATCATTTGATAGGCTTTGCCTGTTAAAGAAATATAAATTCTTGCATAACCACATTTCGAAAGAATTCTTCGCTCATAGCATCGTTACTGGGGGCGTACCTGGCGAAACTTCGAATGCTGTGAAGCACTGGTAACATGCATATATGTAAGCCTATATCGTGGAAGCGAGGCACCCATACGCATATATCCAGATGCGCAAGAACGTATGGCCATCGCGAAATTTTGGCAAATACGCATGACAGAATTTCCTAAAAATCTTCATTTTTAAATTTCTTCAACGATGTGATTATCGTGCGCTTAAATAACATTTGTTTACAGCTTGCAACTGTATCTTTTGCAAGCTCGTCTATTGACCGAGAGTAAAAAGTGTTGAGTAACGAACCAGGTAAATGGATTTTTTCTCTAATTTTTAGAGATAGGGCTCGAAGTTTGTTATGCAAAAGCAAACACTTCTGATTGAGATTATGAACTTTTACATAAAAGCTCTTTTTGCACGTAGCATAACTTACGTGAACGTCTAAAAAAATCATACTCGAATCAAATATTACAACAGTGTTATTATACGCAAAAAACACTAATTGAAAAAAATTGTCTGGAATATTTATTAAAAGTAAGTAGCTCCCTAATGCTGCTACGTAAGAATGGCCTTGCAAATGGACCTATTCTGGTAGGAGTTACCGCTTACATGTGTGCGGCTCACTGTCGCCTGTTCACACCTGGTTTGGTAGCTTTATTCGAGGGTGATTTGGACTGATTTCAACTTTTGCTAGTCCGTCTGAACCCAACAACTATTATGATAATACATAGATTCTTTAGAAACATAGTGTTGAAAGGGACCAACATCTTGGTGGGGCAAATTCAGCCGAATTTTACTTAAAAATAGTTATTTATCGGACGTCCCAACATTATACATCATAATCAAAAGAATAAATTCACATCTAGTCGATCAATGGCCTCTGTTATATATATATATATATATATATATATATATATATATATATATATTTATAGGGTGCAATTCGTTTTAAATAAATATTGGAATCGTCACTTCGCTCGATCTTATATTCCATACTAGGGCAGTATGGCGTTCATAAATAGTAACAATTGCTATAATTTATCGATATTTTGTTTTGCTTGTCTGGTTTTGTTGTTCTCCTTTGTTAGGTAGCTGATAGCTAGCCATATTCTGTATTCTAATATACTTCTATCGGTTCGTAGGATCAATACTTGATTGTGACTAAATTATGACTAGTTTGACGTATGTAGATCCTCATTCCGATAACCTTCTACAACAGTTACACATACATAATATGCATTTATCGAACCTTTATCAGTTCCACCTAATTTTTACATACAAAATAACATATTTACGACATGTCCCATATTTTCCTTATTTCCCAAAGTCTTTCGCCCCTGTACATTTTTATACTTTAATATCTTCCGCAGCATTCAATCGGCTTCGGTTTAGTCGAAAACTCCACAACTTCTTTCATCTTAAACCACTTTTTAGCAACTATCCTTTAATCTCTTTATGATCACCCATCGCTTGGCCCGCCAGTCTTTCCCGCCACTTCCGATACATGTATTAGATTCTGGCGCCGTTCTAAAATATCTGTCTTTCCATTGCTTGCACAACTCCGCTTACCGTTAACCATAAGCTTAATGTGCCCACTGCACACAGCGGGCGTAGTTTGTTGCTGCCGTAAGTATCATCGCGTTTAGCGGCCCGTTGCCAATCGGTCTCGGTAGTTTTTCGTCCTGCTACAGCACAACCACAGCATCATTAGCAGCATCTGTCTCAGTCGCAGCATAAGCGCGGCTGTCCACTCGCCAGCATAATCATTCTCCAGCTTCACTCGAGCTGCGCTTCGAAAGCGGCCATCGCAGTACTCGCAGCAGCAGCAGCAGCAGAACGGGCAGAACACACTGGAGTAGCAACAGTAGTAGCAGCAGTAGTCCCCGAATCCAGCTAATAGTTACAGACGAAACAAAGAAGCTGTCGGCGATCCCATCGAGGAGTAACAACATTGTATAGCATTGAACGAGGGCAATGAGGCGAGCAGCTGGCTGGCACCACTTGACTAGGGCTGACGCTGTTGTTCTAAGAAGAAGCAGAATTTCGTTGCTCATCTATTAGTCTACCGTATAGCTTGCTGTGTTTGAGGTAAACGCAACAAAAGGAGGATTTCATGTGGTTCGTGCCTGTCACCAGTGTTTTATCTACTGTAACCAGCCAGTAGCACAGGGATAGTTCCTGGCAACTTCGTGACAGGACTGCCTGTAAGTATCAGGTAAAGTGTGACCAGCGGCAAAGGGTGATTGTTAGTATTGGCTGCGAATCACGACTGAATGCGAAAATCGACAGCAGCAGTATCAGAGCAGATTACAACATATTACCCATTGCAGAAACTGTGAAACCTGCAATAGCTTTGCTGGAATCCACCTGTGTGCAGAGAAAGAATACAAGTGTAAAATTGTTGCCCCTTAAGGGTAAACCACCGGCAGTCAGCTGCTTTTAGCGGCCTCGAGAGGCAGTTACGTCTCTAGACCCTGTCACAAAGGAAAAACAATAGTTTGTACTTACGGGGGTGCTAAGGCCAGTATTCGCTTGGTACATAGTTTACTACGTATACAGGCAGACTGGTAGTTAATAATGCCCGGAATGGACTACAGTTCGAGTTCGATCAAGGGGAAACGGCAACAACCGAATCGTAGTAGGGCAAGATCAGTGCTTTGTTACGTATTAAATCTGATGCCGATTTCACATATGTCCACATGTGAATGAACGGCTGTAATGTCTAGCGACGATATTTGGCTCTGTGCCTGCTGGAATATATGTGCCGCACCAAAGGCACAGGAGGACCGGGTATACCTAGCCAATTGAAGGGGGTACGTCGAGGACAAACTGACCACAAGCGATAAAATCAACGGAGAAGCAAACCCGATAATTAAATAAAACAGAAAAGCAATTCCATAGGTATACTATAGGAAAAGCAATGCGTAATACGTTATACTCCCAGAACGCGCGGAAGAGAGAGCCAACACAAAAAATGACGGTATTACCAAACCGACCACGGCATCAGCAGTGAAACAATTGCAGTTACGCTATTTTGGGTGCTCGTTACAGAAAGCGTTGAAACACGGGCGGCTAACGAGGGGTCGCTTGCATCATCTGCTGCATCGTAGAGATGGTTCCGACGAAAGCGTAGCTTGTCTATTTTCGTGCGGTGCGTGTACGTTCTTAGTTGTTAACTAAACCCCCGGATCCCAGAACTACCTGCCGTAGGGGCAAGCTCATTACCCTCCATTGATTAATTTTAGCTCGTTACGTCTATCATTGGTAACTCGTTTGTTTTAATGTTAGGGATGACGAATACAAACCTTCAGAGGAAGTTACGAATCGAAGTAGTACATTGTTGTTGAACAGGACGCCGATTTTGGATTATCTGCTATTGATTGCATTTATTAATATTAGATATACGGCTAAAACTATAATTAAACGTAATTCGAACATTAAAAGTTTGACTAAGTGTTACATTGTGCTTATATCTGTGTTTCTCGTTTTCTGTGACTATATAGAACGCCCTATACGAACGTATTAATCCCGCCACAAACGGAAGAGCATGCTTGGCTGAAAGCTGGCAGCGGTAGGCATGGAGGCCATTGGCGATTACGAATATTCTACCAAGGATCTCATTGGTCATGGGGCGTTTGCCGTGGTTTATAAGGGTCGTCGCAGGGCAGTAAGTAGTAAAACAGTTGCATGCTGCCGGCCACATGCTAAAGACATAAATCCGATAAATAATCTTCTCATATAGTGACAATACCGTCGCTACCAGGAATGACAACACAGTACTTTTGTTCTTAAAGGTCAAGATATTTTTTTTAAGTTATTCGATGATGATGCATCCATTATTTTACTGATTTTATCTAGCTGATTCATGTACATACGCGTAAATTCTTTGTTGCTAACAAGCAGCATAAATAAGACTGATTCAGATATATTGTATCAAGTCAGTAGTCAATGGTCACGTTCCCAGAAGTCGCATTGGTCATCGGTTTACCTTTGGTTGAATGTATTTTCAGTGCCATAGGGTACAGACCAGCATATAGTAAAAATTCGTATGGTTCTGCCTCTCCATTGAATTGAACTGACCGGAGTAATAGAAACTGTCCGATAAATTCTGATGATTGTATACATCACATGTGCTGTGGTGTATCTTTTGAATATTATTATTTTATCGAACATAAAGTTCGTCGTAATTTTTAAACTGCTACTTCATGGTGATGGGGCAAAGAAGTAAAACTTTCACAGAACCCTTCGAAACCCGAAAACGGACCTGATTCAATAACAAACGGAGCAACTTTTTCCAACTTTTCAGTCACATTGAACGGAGGCCTACGATCGACAGTTGTATGGTCAATAACGTGGTGGCATCTGAACGGTCTTGATTCTTTGTTGCCGGGAGCGTAATACGTTTTGCCGAAACGATATTGCTCATGGCTTTTTCGCTTAGCGTTTCTACAATGATATAAACACTGGAAAATATTGGTGGCCTCGCAGTCGCACCTGTTATAGATAGCTTTCACTAGTTTGCACTAGTTTGAGGGGCCCAGATGCGCATATAGATAGAAACCCACACACATATATATATATATATATATATATATATATATATATATATATATATATATGTTGTAATTACAGTATTCCTAAACTACAATCAAATACTTCAATCAATCAAGCTTCAACATGTCTGTTTGATTATATATTCTGACAAGGGTGTTAGTGCTATTCGCTGAAACAACACATCCCGTCCATAAACTTTCAGCTAACCTTATCCTATCGTGGACAAAGGTTTGATGGTAATCTAGTCGATCTGCAATTGTTCGAAACTGTTTACCAAAGGTTCCCTCATATAACACGCTGGCCCATCATTGTGTACTAAACATAGGTTTGCCTATTAACTTATGTATGTCTATTATGCCTATAAGAAGAATTTAAATTGCGAACCATTTGGATTTTAGTAAAAGTCCGAGTACTAGAAATTACAATGGTGTTTGTAATTATAATTCCTTCTGGGTCCCTCGAAATTGCCCATATTGACCATTTCCCCAATCCGGACATTTTTGAAATGACACTACAATAACTACATCGCTACTAAGGCCTATCGTAAAACAAGAAAAGCTGACACTAAACAGCACTACGCTAATCTATTTTGGCTATGCACTTTCGAATCTAACGTCACAATGTCTTTTATATCTGCATATACGGCTTTCATCACAATTACCGTTTGAATAGAAGTTTTAAGCGAAAACGAACAAAAACTTCCACTCAACTTAAATTTCATCATTTTGTCAGTTATAGTCACCGAAAATGAAACGGCCGTACCAGACGCACAAATCTAGTTTATCATTATAAAAGTGTGCACTATCGGACATGTATTTCCATCAACGTATCAAGAGACGGATTCCATTAGTGTCCCTTCTTTCCTCCTTATAACTTAATTTGCGTGCTCCAAACCCGATTTGCTTGCAGTTGCGAGATAACCTTTAGATTTCTTTTTCTCTATACATTTAAATGGCTGTTACTTCAAAGAGGCAGGTCAATGCCCAGCTAACCAGCCGTAGACTACGCGTTACTGTTGTAAAAGAGATTCATATTGGGACCATTTAGCTGCGATTTTCTCAACCCTATATATATATATATATATATTGAGAATGGTTCGGGTATACTCCGCTCGTTAACGTCGGCTTTTCGCATGGTCGTCGTTACGTTCAATGACAGATCTACCCGTTAGTATTGTCAGAGACCTCTTTTCAGTTCTTATCTCAGTGCAATCGTTAGAGCACTTGGTTCGAGCTTCCACTTGACACTCAGGAATAAATGCTTCGCAACGTACTCCCGCTATCCTTCTTAGGCACTGCTTCAGACGGCTTGCCCCTTCCAGCACGTTTAAATAATGATGATGATGTTGCAGAAGAACAGAGTCAAAGCTATTATCCGAGGCAAAGCATGATAGCTGCACGTAAAGCACTGAACAGATTGTTTCAATAAAACGAATGAACACATGGCGTACCTCATTTATTTTATTTATGTTTATTATATCAATAAACTGCTACAGCTACAAATATTATATGATAAATCGTCAACTGTTTCTCTCGATCTAAATCTCGAACCTTGTCTGCCGTGAAACCCTTTATTTCCCCTATGCAGAAGACTAAGTGCGACAAAAACGTCCCGAGTTTGTTTTTTTGCTTCGTGCATTTTATTTTTATGTTTATAGATTATTTGAAGTTGTACTAATAGTTATTTGCCTGTTATTTGCAGGAGCCCGAAATAGCTGTCGCGGTAAAGAGCATTACCAAGAAGAATGTCTCGAAAAGCTCGGCCAACTTGCTCGGCAAAGAGATCAAGATCCTCAAGGAGCTATCGCAGTTACAGCATGAAAATGTAGTTGCTTTACTCGACTGCAAGGAGACGCCGAGGTTTTTCTATCTTGTTATGGAGGCAGGTATCGATTCTGTGCGTAGAGGAATAAGGGATCCTAGGTCCTGATAATTGATCACACATATTGCGAAACCATACGATGTATCGAGAAACTATTGAGCACTCTGAGCCAACTCGACTTTTTTCTAGTACCCGTATTATGCAGGACATGTTATAGAACCAATGTTTCTATCATACATTAATATAGTGCTCAGACATGTTGGCTGGATTCGTTCCTGCTCGTCTAAACACGATTCTGAACTCCCACGATCATTCAGATACATCTAACTAGCTAAGTTTTTCTAAATTGCAGTATTGTAATGGTGGAGATCTCGCCGACTATCTCCATACAAAAGGGACTTTGTCGGAAAATACAATCCGATTGTTCCTAAAGCAGATCGCTGGGGCAATGAAAGCCCTCTTTGCTAAGGGAATAGTCCATCGTGATTTGAAACCTCAGAATATTCTGCTTTGTCATGATAAACAGAATCCAACGCCGGCTGACATTACACTCAAGGTAAATATCTTCATATGTTTGGAGGTCGTTCGGTTTTGACGTTGTAAAATATATGCGGAGACGTTTAATGTGATCACGTTCCTCTTGAATAGGATAAAAGGACAATCTACGAATTGTCGTTCCATACTTTAACCGTATCGTCGTGTCGAGAATCAGAAACATTTCATTCAGAAACTCTGTGTACCGTTGTGGATGGTGAAACTATAGCGTGATGTATTTTACAATGAACCTGTACATTGCTGTTTTGAACAAATTTGAATACGAAGGTAGGAAAACGTTGACAAGATATAATTCAAACGATACTGATTTTACGTTTCTTAATGATAATGTAGGTTCTAAAACGTCTATTATTTACCACCAATCTTAAACGATAGAATCTATTTTTTTTTTTCAATTTCAGATTGCGGATTTCGGGTTCGCTCGATTTCTTCAGGATGGCGTCATGGCAGCCACACTATGCGGTTCACCGATGTACATGGCCCCCGAGGTTAGTAAAGTACAGCTAATGTCAATCTACACATGTCAACTGCACTCTCCTACGATGTGTAATGTAGGCCTTTTTACGCATCATTAGGACTCATTTCTTGTTTGCAAACGTCACCAGAGAAATTGTACAGTAATATACTCTTGATAATATTAAGAAACTAACTTAACATGGACAAATACTAACTAATAATCTACATATCATGCAGGTCATAATGTCCCTACAATACGATGCCAAGGCTGACCTCTGGTCCATCGGTACTATAGTATTCCAGTGCCTCACGGGTTCAGCTCCTTTTCGGGCCCAGAGTCCCCAGGCCCTGAAGCATTTCTACGAGAAAAGTCCGAGCCTATCGCCCAAAATTCCGCAGGGTACTTCGCCTGAGCTTGCCGCCCTGTTGCAGGGTAAGGTTTAACACTATTCGCTATAAGCGGACAAGACCCATTTTAGACGCGATTTTAATGAGCCACATTCAGCTAATTATCAACGACCATTAGAGGTAACACGACAAATCTCGGATGGCTGGATTGTCTCATAAGTCGCGGCTTTAGCGTTTCTTTAGGCTAAACACTGTTGCAGCTACGATTAACAGCAGCCATGAGGTAAGCGACTCTCCGATAGTCGAGGTCCAATATTGCCCTTGAATTAGTAAATTTTTGTTTCTATCATTAAATAATATTTGTGACCAGTCTTAAACACAAGAAACCCGTATAATCGATAGGGTACGACGTTTGTCGGGTAAATTAACATATTAATAAATACATTTTCCACAACAGCACTGATAGGAGAATTGGTGAGGGATGTGAATTAGACATCTGGCTGGTTTTCTCGTGTTATGTCCGTTGACCTTGTTGAATTGTACAGGTCTGTTGAAACGGAACGCCAAGGATCGAATCGATTTTGACACGTTCTTTTTACACCCGTTCTTGACGGTGTCATCGAAGCAGCCGGGTTCGAGTCCTGTGCCTGTTCCACGACGCGGAAGCTGTTCTAATTCGCCACTTGTTTCACCCTATGGTAAAGATTTTTGACAACAGTCATCTTTACAACAAGTCCTCATATGCATCAACAGCCAACAGCCGAATCGGTAGTCATTGAAATAACTCTGTGACAGTATGACCGATTCAAGCGGATATGAGTACACTTTAACTGCTGTTATTTTTAGGTACACCACTACTTCCATCGTCGCCCTCTTCCGGAGGCCACTGGGGTACACCGGGGTTACCTATGAATGTCTACCCGAAACTCAGCCAAACAAAACAGTCGATGGTCTCGTCACCCGAAGAACAGGACTATGTGCTGGTGGAGAACGAACTCTGCACCGACCAGTGGCCACAACAGGTAATCCAACAGCTTATACTCTTATACGACTTGTTCAGTTGATAGATAGTATTATGTACCATACACAATATGATTATATATAGATCCATTAGGCAATTAAAATCAAATGCTACCTAGTTTTAGTGCGATGCACAACAGTACGGCACCAGCAATATGTAGTGATAAAACATGATTCTGCTACACGTGACAATGTCAGCCAATGTTGTTGCTACGAGTGTTACAAGAAAATTAAAGTAATAGAATTAAATTCATTTTTTTTTCCAAGTATTTCCAAAATAAGTCCAGTTTGAAGAACTTCCAAAGCTATAATGCTAATGCAGATCTTCATATTCATATTGATAGTAGAGTTCGAATCAGCAAAGGTTATTTTTATTCTCATCAAAGCTTTAATAGTCTGTTGTCTAATATATATATATATATATATGTATGCTTCTGCATGACTGCATATGTGATCGTATCGCTCTCTGCCATCTGGGACCGTACCGTATTTGCTCACCTCTTACCTCGTCGTGGTTTAAGGGAAAAGAATGGAGGGAAATCGTCTAAACATTCGGAACTTAAAAAGCCTAAAAACTTCGTCCTTCTTTGCCTATTAACTCTGACCTGACTATGTCAATCGTTCAAATGTCTTTGTGAGCGAAAGTTATGGACGTCTTAATGCACCACGCACGCAACATGGAAGCAGTTCAATCGGTAATGTCTCTTTCCCTCTGTGATCGTCTAACCCGAAGCCTTAACAATGATAGGCTGTACCCTGCCTGGCCAGAGCCTGACTTCACGGAGATGTCTTGCACAGGCTTGTTTGTCTTTGATGCTAAACGACTGCTCACAAGCCGGTCTTACAACCGGGTTATCGGCTGATGAAGGTTGTGGCAACAGGGTGAGCAGTCACAGTACGAGCGATGCAAGATTATCACAGTCGTAGAGTCCTTTTCGAAACGGTGTCTTTCCCCCTTCCACTGTTCAGATCATTGGTTACAAAAATTGCATCATAGAGTATCAACTACGGGTTAGTGTATGGCAGATATCACAATGCAGTCAAATTGACCGGCTGAATCTAGATGGCGTACTCTGTGTTGTGACGTGGGAAAAGCGTAAACCATTCCAACGACAGTTAGATTGTAGTGAACCGTTTTTCTGAGAATAACGTTTCGACAGAAAGTAATTAACCAAACGACATCGTACTGGTTAATGCGATAAATTAGAATCAACACTCTGTTTGAAACTCGATCTTTGTGCACGGAAAAACGGAACTTTGTGCAAAATTGTTGGTACTGTTTTTTCCATGAACTCCTAAACTTTGTAGACTGCGAAAATTTCTACCAGCGCGCACGGCTTCAGTAATCGAATGATAATTTCGAGATTGCGTATCTGACTATGTTTGGATTTAACTTAGTAAGCCTGCAGATTTGATATAATGGCTCCGACAGCTGCTGGTGGCGCAGGGCGTCTTCAAGGGCGAGCACCTGTAATATCTAGCTGTGGTTTTTTTCGAGTGGCGGGCGCGCTTTACTTTGTGGTGTGTGTTAAGCAATATTGCAGCCTAAATATAGATAGTATGCTGATTAATACGTAACTTATTTTCTGTTCGTCATCACTTAACATCTACCGGCCATTTGAAGCAAGTCATATTGCGTTAAGTCTAAAGGACGGTGAAGAAACATGTAATAGCTATCATGATTCCCATTATGCAGTATACGGAGAATATAAGGCAATCACCTGCCAATGCTGAATAAGAAGCTCAGCAAACAAAAGAGATAAGAGCTTGTTTTGTAGTACTGATATGGTAAACTTGCCAGGTTGTCGACCTTATTTAGGTTTTTTTTTTTTATTAAAGCTCGTGCTCCACTTGCAAAATGTGAAACAAATATTAGAATACATTTTACGCTGCACGATACATATGTAGAACTCACGTAAATGAATGCATTTGGTTTGCCGATCTGTTTTGTTGCCTCCTACAGCAAACACCTCCCCGGTCAACGGGAACCCCTCCGCGTACTCAACCGATCCCTGTGCCTTCGAGGAGCCTCCGTCTACGAAAGTTCAATGCGGAGGTTGGTATAACAAACCCATTGCCTGTGCAACACCTGTGCAGACTAAGTGGTCTCTATTAGCATGTGTATCTGGGTGCTATATGATGCTACAAAGTTGACAACTAGAGAACAAATTAACTAATTAGTCTAACCAGAAAAGCCCTACTATCACATACAGACATTATACGAAGGTCTTTTCCTCGCCGGGTCTCTAGGGCCATAGAGTTTTCAATTCTTGATATGTTTACGATATGGGACGGACTTTGTAGCTGGGCACTCTCCATATTTTCAGACACTATCTAACACTGTTGTAGTAGATTAATTAGTAGCTTTTATGCGTCAGTTGCTCTCAGAACAAACGTACGATAATATTGGTGAGCTCCGAAAGCAAGTACGTAAGTCTTCATTACCCTTTCTTCTGTTCCATTCCACTTTTAGATGAACGACGAAAAACGAGGCTCAATAGCTGCTTCGCCGAGCCAGTCCAATTCAAATCTTCCGCGCGGCACTCCCGATGTCGAGAAGCTCACACCACCGAGCGCAAACTTCATGATGAATAGTCCCTGCGGAGCATCTCCTCCATACGGTCCGGGATCAGCTGTAAGACAAGCGTTCGCGTCTTCACCTATTCGGATTGTCGGTCACCACCACGGATCATCAGCCGGAGGCCATCCGCTTGGTGCTCGCGCTATGACCCTGCCGGAGTTAGCCAGCGAAACAGGCGCTGGAGGTACAGGAAGTGCTCCGGGTAGCACAAGTAGCGGATCCGTGCCTAGCTCGGATCGCAGCCTGCAGAGATCGGGGTCAGTGAACACTCTGTTCACGCTATCGCCCAGTGCATTAATACAGGTGGCACAGAAACGCTACAACGATTCAGTATTTGAAGGCTCACCACCCTCGGCAAACGACCTTCAGTTATTTGTCGCTCCGGAGTTGCCTCCGGAGACAATTCTGGATCGAGCACATAACGAGACGCTGGCAAAGCTGAACTTTGTGCACGCCCTTGTCGTCTGCATCCTTGAGCTAGCAAAAAGTCGAGCTGCCGGGGAACTGGCACATCATATCGAGCCAATGGTTGCCAATCAAACTGATGTGAGGGTTGTGTCACAGCAGGGCAACGGTCAACCTATCGACAGAGATGAACCCGCTAGCCAGCTAATGGGACGGGGCTGTAGCCTTGAGTCGTACCGACAGGCTGAACAATTGGTACTTCACTTACGGGCAGTCCACCTATTATCATCGGCTCTGCAGTTGGCCAAGCGGCGAATTCTCGACGGGAGTCTACAATTGTCCCCAACAGTGAAAGACCTTTTACGACAGATGAGGCAGAAACTACAGCAGGGCGTCCAGCAGTGCACTGCTTTAAGTGACGCGGCAGGCGGTCTTACGAGACGGGCTCTTACCGATCCTCAGGTGCGTACGTGTTCAAAGTCAAATTTAATCGGTATTGTTCGTTTCCCCATATAATCAAATAGGTGCGATTATACGGAACGATTTTTTAAGCAGTAGTATCTGTTCGTCGCAGGAGCTGCATTCCAAATCGAAAATACAATTTGCCAAAAACAGTTTAGGTAACCTTGACAATCGCTTTTGGGAAAGCAGGTATTCCAGAACTTGTCGGCAGACCGACTGTTGTACAATCACGCTATTGAAATGTGTCAGAGTGCGGCTTTAGAAGAGTTGTTTGGCTCACCCCATGAGAGCTTTAAGAGGTAAGCGTCACTACGGATGTTAATTGCTTTCTGTAGGGCCAACTGCTAATGTCTGATACAGTGGGTAGTAGTTAATCTGAATGATAACTTTACTATGTGGATATATGTCGAATTAATCATATGTCGCTAGTTGTTTTTTATACATATATGCGTGTGTCTAATTCCCGTTTTGCCACGTGTTCAGGTATCAGACGGCTCAGATTCTTCTACACTGTTTAGCCCAGCAGGTAGAAAAGGAAGAAGACAAACTGTTGCTCTCAAAGTGTAAGATTAACAACGCAATCATTACCCTAAGTGTGCATGTTTCGTATGTTAGCTTATATTTTTTTTCCCATATATTATAAATGTACGGGCTACGCGAACAGTTTGATCTGACTCACGTTCGAAACGATTCTATGATACCCAAGAAGTCATATATAAACAAATTGAAGAAACTGCAATTACAGTAATGTATATTTAATTGGCATTTATTTCGCTCGTTTTGTGTCAATAGCAACGATCTATGTGGTAATAAACAAGCAGCACATTTATGCCTTTGAAGACCCACTAATATATGCTTGATCGTTGTCCTCGTGTATTACAGATAAAACCGCAGTAGAACGGCGGCTCACAAATCTGCAATTAAGTGGACCAGACGTCTCAGCGAGCCCACCAGGACCGGGTTCATACAGAAACTCGATGGGTGCCGCGGGGACGTTCGCGCAGCCACAACCTTCAACTGTCGAAACAGCAGGGGCTGCCGAACATTAGTGGAGTCACGATATAGGCACATCTCCACATAGCAAATCACGCTCTTTGTCGATCTGAATTAGGGCGAACAAGGGCGTTCGCCCCGCGTAACTTGTCATCGCTGCGGGCACTACAATAAAACTTGTCCACTCTCAACTGAATACGATTCACTGAGCGTGCTGCATACACTTCACGATTTCGCCGACTTCGTACGATCGCTGCATACGTGAAAAGCAGTAAAACAACGAACACGAATTATCGTTGAGAACGATAAATCTCACCAGCTCATTTATGGGTAAATTCCTAATGCTCGATGTTAAACGTAAATTTGTCATTCTGCAATCACGAATTGTCTATTTGGCCGAATCTAATGTCACGTGATGGCAATTCAGGACACTTTTCTCAAAATAAGGATCGAGTGCTCGTGTAAAATTGTTTATGTAGGCAGCGAAAAAAAAGTTTGTCTCCAAGGGTTGAATGTAAAGATGATTACCAAAATGATGAAAACCTTTACAAAGCTTAAAACTGTTTTGCTTTGTTCAATCCTTCGTGTGCTTCGTCTTGCTGCAAAACTTGAGTTCTGATGATACGCCGTGGCATCCTCTCTTTGTTGACCTGTAGATCATCCCTGTCTGCCTTTTCCAGATAGGAAGCTTGAGAGGTCGTCCATTCTGCACCCTAGAGGAAACAGTGACCGGTACGCAAACAGCTTACCATGATCCTACTGCTTCCCGAAGCGGAAGAACAGATTAAGACTAAGACAGACATGGAGAGAGCTTTCCAAATGCTGCTTAATGAAGGTTTAATTTAGAGAATAGGGGTATGGTGAAACTGGTTAAGTGAAGGTCATTAGTGTGATGCTTCAAATTCGAACCATATATATGAGAGGAAACTAATTTAGAAATGGAAATGGTCTGAAGCCGAAACTAGAACTGTATATAAACACACACACGCAATATATATATAAAGTAAGTTAAGCGGAAGGACTGGTAATATTATGAATATAATTGTAATTATAACTATATATAACAATTACCGTGATTATAATAGTGGTGTTGAAAATAGGTGCGGTGCTATAGCGCCTAAGTGAAGCAGATTGATGGAAATTCAGTGAGGTGCGAAAGAACCTGAGATCTAACATCACTATATCTATCACGATGACAACAAGCTGAGGTCCAGCTTATGTAAGGCCCCTTTTTACTTCAATGTCAGATAAAGCTCATTGTTACATTTTCAGTTGCACCGTCATGACAAGTCTCTTTTTCTGTTTTAAACTAGCCAGATCGATGATCGCAAAGAAGATTCAGTGTGCAGGAAAACCTATCTCTGATTGCTATGTAATAAATGAAATAATAACAATAACCTTGACGAGATAAACACCCTGTTATCATCATCATTTTTACGACAATAAGAAGGCCATAAGAAAGTCCATCGCAGAACAATAAGTAGTCACCGTCAGCGCCGGCAGTGATGACCAGGTTACGCAAGCTAGCCAGCAAATTAACTGTGCATTGACATAAAAATCGGAGATAGATTTCATGTTGTCATTTATTTTATGTTGACAAGAGCGCTAATTGAAGTGATGGAAAACGCCATCGTCTGCCTGCGCACGAGAAAGGGGCTTCGCGAAGCGATGAGTCAGTCAGACCCTTGTACGGACCTAGACATACCAAATTCGCAACAGAGTGCGCCTATAAGTAAACAAGCCTATGTGTTGGATTAATGCGCTGTCGTTTGTCGTTGTATTTCAAGAGGCTATTGTTTTAAGCTCAGCTTTTGATGAGGTGTAATGGGTTAATCAGTTGATCTGAAGCCCGCTTTATATATGTATCTGGTGCTGGATCGATTACTGCGTTTTGTGTTGGCATTACGGAGTGAGCGCTACTGATTCGATGATACGAGCGCTTTTTGGCTGGAAAACGACTGGTGACATGGCTTTGATATGAGGATCATAAAGCAATTTGGATGACAAAACAAAATGTAGATTACCAATAATATCAATATACATAATGGATCAAGTGAAGCTTGCGCAAGATAACAGGCGATTATTAAACCGGCGAAAACAATTAGAAAGCTTGTTGTAAATTGATTTTTAACAGTGGCGACCACGACGCCACGAGACCGAGCGTGACGAATCTGTGAAGATTTTAGATGAAGGTCTCTATATGTATAGAACAATGGGAAACGTTCAAACGTACCGAAATTACATAGAAATGAACTGAAGGTAATCTTCGCGTACGTTTCACCCCATAACGGTTAGCTTCTATTACTAATCACTGGCACGGACAGTAAGAATAAAATGGTGTATTTATTTAGCTTTCCGTCCCACTCTACATTCAGATGAAAGGATGACTATATGCTTATGACCTTCTCGTGCACACGAAAATTTCCGCAGCCATTTTGAACGTGAGTTTCGCTAGGAACAAACTATGTGACAAGTAATTCCTCAGGGGAAATCGGTTTAGTTCGTAGCTTCCTAGTTCGAGGAGACAACAAAAACGAACACAAATTATATCTAGTGGAATTACGGCGAGATGTGCATTAAGGACAAAGACAGGATTTTTGAGGCAACCTACGAAAAGAGAAACAGAATAGGAATTGTGTTAGACACCGCCAGCAAACGCCAAAACCAGCAGAAAGCATACCCGTTTATATATATATATATATATATATATATATATATATATATATATATATAAAGATGAAAAGGATTGTCTTAAGAACATAGAAAAGATTATTATTCTAGAATGCACTAAAAATTAACGCTAAGCCCGCCTCGTCGCGTCATGGAACGTGAGGAGTCGAAAAAAATATTGTCACCGAAAAAGGGCGCGAAAGGTTTTTTCAGCGCTAAAAATGCTTTCTAGTGTACAAGCCTATATATATACTCTGTTGATGACAGTGCTGATGAAAGCAGTGAGAGATGGCATAGTGAAGAGAAATGGGTCGCATAGAGCGAAAAGTTTCAAAATAGTGCTGGCCCTAAAAAAACGGCAAAGCTAATATAGGCCAACGAAAGTAGAACGAAGTACGGGAACAAGAAAAAGATGAAGTAGAACTAAATAGTTTACGATGAAGACCTAAACAATTACTCCGACTCTAAGCAGAAAACAAAGAATAGAGTCCCCGACGCAGTCAGCGGCGAAATACTGCATGGTGTATCGACAACAAATGAATAATAAAATGTATGTGCTGTATTGTTATGAAGTATTGTAACACCTTGTTAATTATAGTTTGTTATTAAGTTTATTGGATAAAGAGAGGCTAGATTGACGACAGATGCTGTAATAGTTTCCAGTAACATTAAAATGTGACAATGTTTTTTTTGAGCTTATTTTTTTAGCGAGAAAACGGAGTAAATTGTTTCACGTTCGCAGAGCACGTGGCAACTAGAATACAAACTAGCCATATATGAAGGAAAAAACACTTCAATGAAACCCTCGATTGAATATCGAGCTAATTGAAATAACGCTTCAGAGGCAAGGATGTGGCCGCATTATAGACCACCAGATATTAAGAAAATCCGATTTTAGCCAAAATTTTTAATTGCATAGGTTATGCGGCAGAAACTGTCCCCGTGAGCAGGAGAAACTTAAAGCGCGTCCAGGCGTAAACATAAAGCTTCGCTTCGTACTGAGAGCCAGCTGTCTAAAGTAACGCCTAGCTGCGTAAGTACCGAACGTAAAATACGAAAAAGTTCTGTAGTACAGCTAATATTGTAGCTCAGTGTGATTTATAGTGAGTCTGCCGCTAGTTTTTGTGTTTACAGGACGTAACGGTCTGAATATAAGGGCAGATGTGTGCAGTTTAATGTAAGTAAAAGGAATGCCAATAGTCCAGTGTTACGGTTAACATTACCGGTAATCCGAAGAAAGCGAAACCTATTAATTATGAACGTGAGTACTATAATGATGCTCCTTTTTTTGTTAATAATATTCTAGAACATTATTTTCCTCTACTTAAAGATTTAAGACGATAGCTTTATTTCGTTACTTCGTTCATAGACTCTACTATAGAGAAATTCAAAAATTCTGCTATATTTTCGTAATTACGTACTTTAATTATGTCTATCTTTTGTTCTTTCATAGCGTTTTGATGACTTCACTCGAAAGAAACGTCTATTTGTGATTTTTAAGCAAATAACCTCATTAAGTTGACAAATGCTTCAATACGACTTCAGCGATGCAACAAAAATTCAGTATGAGCATTGCATTTATAAACATGAATAGAATAGTATTGACTGTAAACACTTAAGGATCCCGACGCCGAATGCATCGATACTCGAGGACAGATCAGCAACACGTCAAGAAGAATGTATTATCTACGAAATCATCCTGTGTCAAGGTATCGACGACATAACTACAAATTGAGTCTTAGAAAATGAAGATCTTTCAATGCTTGATTTGAGCCCTGGTCGCTTTTATAGTCGCAGCTCTGTCAGTCGAGCACAGTGACGAATCTAGGGCGGGCTTTAGCCATATTGAACTGATTTCGTCAAATGGACTCACCACAGATTCTCGATGGCGAACTTCACCTATGCGAAGAAACGACAACGAAAACGAAATACTACCTTACGGAGTTTATTTCCCGCTTCGAATAATCTCTTTGGATTAACAGAATATATCGTTAAGTTGATGTTCGAATCTTCGATTACTCGAAATCGACATCGAAGGACATTAGGAATTGTTATTTATCATTACTATATTTGATGCGCTGATAAGCCTTTGAAGTAAAATAGGTACAAGATATCGTTTGTAGTTGATTTAATGTACGTTCGTAGTTAGGAAGATTTGCCTCTGGGGGTGCCGTCGCGAATTGGAGTAGCTGAAACAACTTCGTGGCTTCATGCGAATACGTAATGGCTGTCGTTACATGTGAGTCTGCAATGGGGATAAATATAACCTATAATAAATTTTTACAAAACAAAATTTTGGAGAAAAATGTGCCGCGTTCCGATTGAGGATAACTCGACATGGACATTCGATTGTCGGACGACGAGCTTCATGACAATCAATACAGACAAGTGGGTGGGATTATAACTCGACTTGGATGGTTAAGGGAGAAAGACAATTAATTGTAAAATTTATTTCTTTAACCTAGAGGTTGCCAAATCATCGGTGAATTGATGCGACTATCAGTCATCTGCTCAGAGACCTTTACATGACACAAAAATCTGCTCTGAGTGAGTTGTGGTACCAAAGGGTACCTGATTACTTTCGAAACTATTTGACATGCGAGCTAATAATTCACGTACTTGGAATTACTGTAGAGTGCTGACTGACGTTGAATGAATGCTGTTGTATTATAATTTGCTGAAAATTTTTATTCTTTTCGTAGCCTGCAACTAATTCATTATAATATCTACTTCATTATTTACTATTCATCGGGAAAAACATTCACGCACGCATTTGTAAAACACTATCGCACTTTTCTATATCGTAGCACTATACTGCCTGATAGGTCTTTTAACACGGCTCATTTCAACCTATGTAGTACCTAAGTAGAGGTCATGGTTATTATCTGTCGGGTTTCGTATGGTAACCCAATTCGTTTAGAAACATCTACAGCGCATTCAGCTTGCGTGTCAAACCTGTTAATGTTGAATACGTTCTGAAATTGATTAGTGGATCTGCATGCAGATTATCAATGTTCGCACAGTGCATAAAATGAACGCGCCCTTCAGGCATGCAGATATCAATGGGGTCCATTGATCCCCGAAGGACAACATATAGCTTGGGCCAAATTTTACACAACGAAAGTTCTTAGGGAACTTCAGCGAACGAGTTACGATGTGGTCATGTGATCTGCTCTTGATGCACAATGTTTAAGATCATATTCTACAAAGGGTTATCTACCTAAGCTTCGCGAATATGCACCAAACATTCAAGTTACCAGAGAACACTCTGTTGTTGCGTAGCTTCTGCTGACTCGTTAGGTAACTAATCGTTTCCGCTATAAGCTACAACGAATATGATTAAATAAATATATAAAGCATTGTAATACAAAATGTTTTTGCTAACAAAGGGATAATATGATAAAATTGGGGTAGTTTCTCCCGTCTATACGACGGTAAGCAAAGTGCCAAAGAAAAATCATCCACAATACTCTCTCTCACATGGGCTAATTGAAACACTTCTAGGACAGCGGTGCAAAAGTTTTGAACTTTTTCGTTTCGAAGGTAAGTATTAAATATTCGGAGGTTAGCAACATTGAAAAAATTACATAGCTTCAGAAAATATTATCGCATAACATAGATCTTTCTTGTACATGTTGATTCAAGTCAACGTTTATTTGATAAAAGGACATACACATGCATATTTTAGTGGGCACAGTAGGTATATTTGATTGCGTATACAAAATATCCAAAATGTCTTAGACTGAGAATACTCTGAGAATTAAATTATTGATACGGAAGGCGACCTAAATTGTCAGGAAGTCTTTGAAACAGCTTGTTTTGAGACTAATATCTCCATTCGATTTTCCTTGCACCAAGAGGTGGTGCAGGAGGTCCATGACTTTCAAATGATTGTCGAGACTTTCATTATGTTTTTCATGTTCAGCGGAATATTGTTTTGGAGAAGTCATCGGCGTACATTTTGTATGTAATGCTTAGTTATTGGAACTGCACATCTGGGTTTTGCACCAAGACTGCATTCCAGATAAACTAGCGGCTTGGGCAGCCGCGGAATAATTGACTTTGACCACGAGGGTTTGATCCGTGAGATGCCATCTAGCAATTGCCCTAGAACCGACCCCCTCGAGAAGCTACTTTCTTAAAAAGAATATAATGATCTATTCCATTAAACGCGCGCGAGAAACCGAAGTCCATTACATGCGGAGCTACGGTTTGATTGCGTCTGAGAGAGCAATCATTGTACTTCTAAATCCTGTGCTAATAAGCCACTTTTTAAGAAAGTTATGGTGTATGAAAGATACAGTAGATCGCACTAACGATTATTTTCTTCCATCAAGGAACGGGTCTGTAATTCATTAGGGATGAGATCGATATCACCTTGTGAATAGAAATCTCAATAAATTCCTGAAACTGTATCAGAACTACTTTGTCTTTAAAAATAAGGTGCTTTATCTGAGGTGGGGATACACTTGCGTTGCGAAATACAGAAGTCTTACGTCGACGATATTCGAGGAAAGCTCGATGTTATTAATGACTTTTTTCTGCATAGATGCTTTGAGAGTCGTTCCCCTTGATCGAAACGCTTTCAAGGGATCTTAATAGGACAGCAACAGTGTCGTCGATAGCAACGCTGGCATTACAAGTGAAAGGACCGACTCCATCGCGAGCACTTAGTCATCTTTTCGTGTAATGAAATACGCCTCGTAACACAAATCTTCGTCTTCTTCAAACTCGCGCCGCCAAGAACCGATTTGCGTCCTAATCGGTGAATATTTGTCCTGAAGAAGGATATCGATATTGATAAGTTTTTTCACAATGATTTGGCAACTAATATAACTTTTTGTGCCCTACAGTAGATATTTTCTGATTGTGGCCTTTGTTCTTATTCCTGAGCGTTATTAGAGTGAACTGAACCGGCGTTAATTGGAGTAACCAGAGGTGCTTAGAACACACAATAATTTTTTAGCGGCCCAAAGTAGTACAAAGGAAAGGCCAGCAAGCAGAACAGGCTGATACTTTACACGTTGAATAAAAAGGCAACTAAATAGTACTACTACAAAAAGTCTTACATCTTAGCGAAGTATTTATTGCATACAATTCTAACTGGAAGCATCTATAATATTATCTAAAAAGTATAGGGTACGTTTCCATTTAATGTTCCCAAAATCATTCTGCTTTATTTCGAATGATTAAGAATGTTTGTAATATACATAAATGGCGTGACTGAGCGATGGACAGAATTTCACGTCAATTACATTTTTCCTGCAATTCTAAACACCATCATGGGTGCATATTGTGCATGGCTGCGGACTGTGTAAAGCGCAAGGAAAAAATGGTAAAGGAAAAAACGCAAGCTAAATTAAATGAGATACACAGTATTTTCGGACACCATAACTTGGTTAGCGTCAGCCATTTTTTCTAAAGCCAGCTCCACCTCTTCCTGCGTGAATGGATCGGACAGAGGCTCGCCTGTAACAGGACAAACAAGTAGACGTTGTTAATATTACGCGTATGTACCTCATACGATACCTCCTAATATTAATGCGGTTAGTCGAGATTTGTCCAACTTTGGTTTATATGTTATACTATAGTTAACTAAAAGAATAATTCAACGTTGGCCCAACATCAATGAATGATGCGGCCTTTTGGTTCTCTTTCTCCGTTCCCGGGATAACCGGTGTGCTGATCTTTTTGCCTGCTAAACTTATAAACACGTAGTGGTCTGGATTTCAATCTGAGCGTACACACGATTTGTTTCATGCTTCAGGAAGCTACCCGTCTGGAGCAATGTTTAACGGTATATTAAATATTGGATATTTACCATATGGGTTCCTTTGTTCCAGTTTGACCAACTTAGCTTCATTTGTTACAACGGTATCACATGCAATAAGTTTTTTTCTTGCTCGAACCCCAGCTACACCATATAAAACACTACAAAGGCTATAGGTTCGCCACACTTTTTCATTAGACAAAGCTTTTGATTCTCAAAGACTTCCCTATACTTTATTCTCAATGATTCTACATAGTGCGCGGTCATACTTACTAGAAAGGAAATCTACGATCTCATTTATGGCCATTTCTTGACTACCAGCCGTCTTCTTGAAAGCCTTGTTCAGTAGAGAGCGGAACTGATTAAGTCGGTCCATTCCTATAGCGATTCCCAACCTCGATCTTGATGGCAGCGGAGCTTCCTCCTCTTCGACCTCTTCCTGCCGTGTGCGTGGCCTCTTTGCTTTGGGCCTCGAGGTCTGTGATGAAGGTGCATCCTCGTCGTCGAATTCGTATTCATCCTCGTGCATGGGTTGGCCTTCACGATCCATGCGCTCATCGTCGGTGTCATCTTCCGAACCCTCAGCCGAATACCTCCTCTTGCGAGGCTTCTCCATGACCTTCTTGAAATAGGCAAAGTGAACGAGTTCAATAGACTTGAGCGCATCTTCTTCCGTGACCTTGGCCGAAAGTCGTGCCTTCGCGTGCGCGGTCGCAATACGGATCAGCGTTTCGAGAGAACGCGCCGTAACCGGCTGAGTTCGAGCCATATCCGAGTGGTCACTATCAAAACTACGTAGACGGGGGTACTCTTCAGTGATGATACGACATGCTTCATCGGACAACGTAGGCTTCACCTGCCGCGCAAGATGGATAAACTTTTTTAAGAATTGCAAGGACACACGCTTGTCCTTGTTATTCTTTCGCGGGCCGTGTAGAAGTGCGTCATGCTTCTCGTAAATCTATTTCCGTGGAAGTCAGCCGAAATAGATGGAATTACGAAACCAAACAAAACCTCATTATTAGAACAGTATCCAAAACGTGTTATAAAAAATATAAGATAGTTTTCGTCAGGTTACGTCGTATGAAATAATCATAATAGTAAACCTTATAATGCTTGAAAAATGATAATCATGATTACTTTTATTATTACTACGGATGCGATGGTCAAACAAATCCTAAATTTTGGGGGTTGTTCTCTAAGAGAATATGATCTATACAAAGGAGCTTGTATCTCTAACCTCTGTTGTTTGTTGTCCAGTAGCAACATCTGGGTCGTCTGTTGAGAGGAAATCTGCGACGTTTTTAAGTGGCATAGCCTCGCCATCCTGCTCATTTGGGTTCCTGTATCGATGCATGCGTACAACGTGCTCTGAGATTCGCTGGTCATTTTCGGGGTCCATTGTGTCGAGGAGCACAAACAAAAGGTCGAAACGAGATAGTAGTGAATCCTGCAAAACGAAACGACAGCGTTGGTTATCTAATTTGATACTAAGTTCAAGTAATTTCGAAATCTGGTGTAGACAAGTGTTCCAAGAAAGGCCCTTGGAGCAATGCTAAATGAGAGTTGCAAACCCAAAACAAATATTGACTTCAATTATATTTATTATTTAGATTCACATTGTAGATATAAATAGTATTATAAATGATAATATATAATGATATAAAGTATTATATAATATAGGTTGTAGTATTTTTAAATTTCAGAAATCCTTAGCTTACGAAAATAAAGAAGCTTATTTTTAATGATCCGACAGTATCACTACTTATACTATTTATCTAAATTGAGCCTCTTCCATTACCAGCGTTGCTTACCTGTAAACCAATATTCTCCATAGGAGTCTTATATTGGTCGTAACGTCCATACACGGGATTAGCAGCTGCTAAAACGGAGCATCTAGCATTGAGTTGGGCTTGAATGCCTGACTTGGCAATTGTGACTCGACCCTGTTCCATGACTTCATGAATTGCTGTTCGGTCAATGTCAGACATTTTATCAAACTCGTCGATGCACACTATACCTCGGTCCGCCAACACCATGGCGCCGGCCTCCAATCGACGATCACCAGTTTCCTGGTCGGCGGTGACGGCCGCCGTTAAACCCACTCCTGATGAACCTCGGCCCGTTGTTGCAATGGCGCGCGGCGCCGTATTAAGGACGTATCGAAGCATTTGCGATTTGGCCACAGACGGATCTCCGATCAACAGAACATTGATGTCTCCCCTGAGGCGAGTTCCGTTTGGAAGAATCTTTTCACTGCCGCCTAACAGAAGGCATAGAAGAGCTTTTTTCACGAAATCGTGACCATGGATCGATGGGGCAAGCGACTTCGATAACGTGGCAAAAATATCGTTGCCTTTTTCGCGGGCGAACTGACGGACCTTCTTCATATCATCAGCTGTGAGTTCCATAGCAACTTCCTTGGTGAGTAAACGGATGTTATTGGCTAGCAGGACTGTTCTGAAAATTCCATTTGTTATCCCGCCTTGCTTCGAAGGCAGACATCTATACACGCCAATAATTTGAACACGATCACCTGGTTTACAGATGTCCACCATATCGTCATCGCAAAGAATATCAACCGAACGAGGCAGTTGACCGGCAGGAGCTTTTTCCGGCATCTCTTGTATGGTAAGCGTCTGATGATCTTTGTAGGACGAGAGTCCGTATTCAGTTTCCAGCAAATTACCGTCATCATCCTTTGTCGGGTAGATCGACGAGGATGGTGTCGAGTCGTACGAGGCCATATCTGTGTACATTCGCTCTATGGTTTTACCCGTCGCCGGACAGTAGTGTACAGAACGCGCCACCTTCGGACGAATTAGCGACGCTTTGGTAACAATACCTAATAGTTTATCATCATCAGTTAAAAACTTACTATTAGATTAAGAGGGTTCATATACCCAGAGCAGTAGTAGAGAACCACGATGTGAGACTGTAGCTCTATATTAAAAAACCAAAAAATAACCTTTGTTAATAAAATACTGCCTATTAACACCACATTTTAGTACCTTCCAATGCAGCAAGTTTGCATTTAGTAGAATGCTTACCCTCAAGGCATACGACGCCTCCAAGAAAACTCGAGGTAAGGCTGCGCGGCGTAACGTGCTTATTACCAAATGAACCCTCCAAACCAACGGAATATCGCAGTGCTCGGTATTGCTTCTGTAGCGAGGGGTCTGCTTGCATCACGATGCTTTTGAGGGCTAATTCGAACGCCATCATTTCTTCAGCGGAATTCGAAACGAGTTCAGCAGCGCGTCGCGGGTTTTTCCTTCGTAGATCATTTATGTTGACGATCAACCGACGCCCACTGGATGCCAGCATCTCGGTGATCTTTGCCTGTGATAATTTATTAAATAATTCTTCCATAACACTGATTTAATAGTTAGACTGAGCCTATTCATGTATCAAACGGTATTTGGAAGATCTGCTCTGAATAGAGATGACGGTATGTTATTCGCGAACATCGTTTCGGATCAACAGAGTGTATTGCGAAATTTTAGGTTAGGTCATTTATCAGGACAGAAAACAAAAACATGGCAGAAAATTTTCAAACGTAACAGGCAATTCCTAAGTTTCATAATTGTTGCTTTGGACCTATATTCAAATACCTGTATAGTTGCCGACTACGCAAGGAAGAGGTTTCATTGCATCGTACCCGATAAAAGGATAATGCATTCAGAGGGAACTACCCTAATAAACTGATCGTTTGCAAATTATGTACGGGCCGAATATCAGGCCAACTATAAGATTATGAACAAAATTACCGGCGAATTCTGTTACAAATTACATACGAAATGTATGTATGTTGATGGAATTCTCACTACTGGCTACTTTGCTATAACAATAATAATGAGTCACGAGATCAGGTGGAACATCAGTACTAATTTCTGAAGATAGTTTTCGATAAGATAATACAAACACTTAAAATTTTTGCAGTTTGCCAACAATCGCGCACCAAAATCTGGCTGACCCTTTATTAAGCAATAGAGAGAAAGCGTATAATATCCGCTAATGACTAATGCCAGCGCTAAACGGCGCACCAAGTATCAAAAGGAGGCCTTCGTATATCACATTTTGTTACATCTCAATGAGCCAATCAAACTTTTTATCGCATTTTGCTTATCGACTTGCTAAGCGGTAAACTTTGAATTTTAATCACATATTTAAAGCCGCACTGGAAATAACGTTTAGGTGTATTTACAAATTATATAACCCGATACGTCGAGTTGCTATTTGCACTTACCCTATAACTTCCGTCATCGTTATCGTCGTCCAAAAAGTCCTGATACTCCCTCTGAATATCGTTCAACGTGTTGTGTATAGTTGTATCTGCCATTTTTCAGCTTGGCTTATTGAGAAATCGAAAATACAAATAACGGCGCTGATCGCCAGCCGCTTTTGGCGCGAAAACAACGCGCCAATGATGATTTCGAAACCGGATGTGGAGAGAAGACGTGAGCGCGAAACGCCCCTTGCAGAGAAAGGGGAAACAGAATTGATTAGTAGCTGCACAAAGGGTACCACTTATTTTTTGAAAAAAGCGACACACATCAAGTGGGAAGGTCGAAGAAATAAAAAAAATCGTATATATATTATTCTATATTCGCACAAATTGTAATGTTGTATTTATGCGTCGTTAGCAACGATCTATAGTCTCACTTCTCAACCAGAGGCTTCAAACATAGTCATATATCAATGATAATTTACGTAAGTATGATTTTCTTATATCACTCATACCTCTAACTCCTGTCTGTGTTATCGGACAAATTTAAAACGGCAAGCATTTGACATTTAGCAAAAGTGGGCTTCCTTGTGAATGTAGTACGCTATATGCCCATGAGATAGCCGAGTCGACCTAACCTAATAGTTTGATGAGACGAAGATTGGTGTAGGCGCTTGCAAAAAAAAATCGACATTTGAACAAAAAAAATTCTGCTGAAATTTCAGTTCTCCTTCAACAAAAATAACTATCATAGAAAACCATTTGATACTCGTAGTATGCATTGCCTCAATTTACTAATATTGCTTAACTTCGAGAAAAAAAAGAGTTAATACCAAGTCAGCGTCTACATGCACTGATTGATGTGTGCCGGCAAAATAAGTTTACACATTCACGACAAACTTAGCATAGTTCAGGCGGTGGCCTTTAAATAGACCCTATGCAATCGGTTCGTCTATACCATCTTCTTCGACAAGTAGCGAAAACAAGCTTACCCCAACATTAAACTTTGCTTCCATAAAAACATTATTTCTACTTTAACTATTGTCCTATGGAAATAAACTTTGGATTCGTTAAAAACCAAATGTCGCATTGTGAAATTTGACCGACGTCATTAAAAAGCTTTACCTGAAAGGCTCCGGGTGCGAGTTCTACCTAACAAGGCTTTACTTAAAAATGCTTGAGTAGATACGAATTTTATGTTCGGTACCGCGATTAACTATTGCCTCAGACGCTTACGAAACAGTATGTCTACAGCAAATTTCACCACATGTCCTTAAATTTAGCCGGCTGTAAAAGACAGGTGACAATGCACTCGAGCTTTGTGCGGAGATCTAATGCTATTAGAAGAACCAAGAACAAAAAAATATAGCTAATTAGACTAAAGTAGAAATGCTTTATTGTTTACAAGAGCTCTTGTAAATAAGGCAGCAAACAAATTTAGAACTCATTGTATCATAGAAAATGACAACCTGCAAATTTAGGTTTTTACTTAGATGCAATTGTCGTATCGGCATTTCTATAAAAGCCTATTCAAGGGGATACAATATATAAACTGCTCTCTTACTTTTTTAATAGGTATGTACTATAATTGATGGTTAATAAGTATAGTGCCAAATCAGTAGGATGGAATAGTAAACTCGGAGCTTTTGAATCACAGTAGTCGATAACAGTGGTAACGAGTAGTTGGCGCGGTGTGTTTTGGACGATCTGGCTGAAAATGCTAGAGGACGCTGGGTCAAGTTTTACCGGTGGCATCCGGTATAGGATCGGTGTCATTAAATAAAGGGCGAACACTATTACCATGTATATGCGAAAAAGCATAGAACAATCGTACTATGTCACTCACCGGATTCGCAATAGATAAACCTTATATCTATTTATAGTAACACAGGCATATACTTATGTCTGTGTTACTATAAATAAAAATACTTATGTCAAAAATCGTCGATAAAAAACCATAAAGAAACAGCTTCAAGTAGTTCGATGATTTTACATAGAGCCTGTTAATGCTTTTATAAAGCGGCAATAAAATGAGTTTTTCTAGAATCCGCGTTTCTGGGAAATAGAGTAGGCACAAATATAGGTAAACGTTTCGAGTATGTAAAAGCTGCTTTTCCGCTTTAATTAAATTGCCTGGAGAAAAGCAAGCTTAGAGCTGTTCAATGTTCACACTACGGCTAAAATTATTCTCCCGATGACAGATGCTATACGACAAGTATAGAAAAAAGAGATAAAAAATAGAGAAGCATGAAAGATGTCGACATTTTTTATTCTAACATCATACATTAAGTTTACTAATGCATCTCGCCAACTAGTACAACCTGTACGTCCGAACGGAGTATCGAAATTGCCGGCTTAGAGTCGACAACAGTCAAATTTTGCTGGGAATCATCTCCGACATGATTTTTCAAAATGCTTTCCATAGAGAAACCGTTCATAGTGATCTAGATACCGTAATAATATTTAAGTCTCAATGTTTATGCTTTTTAGTTTAAAGCAAAGTTCACTTTTGCATACTAAATGAAAGGTACACTTTTATTAATTGTATGAGTTTTTATTTAACTATTTAAATGCGAGCTTGTAGGAAACGGTTGTTCTATCTGACCTAGCTGAAAATTGTAACATATATATATATATATATATATATATATATATATTGGTAGTTTTTATCTCATCTAGGAGAGTTAATAGCCAACGTGCGGGAGTAGTCATCTTCAATAGAGCTTCCCAATTGCAACTTTCATACCTACGAATTCACACCTTTCTAATCACACGCTCAAGAAATAGTTTCCCATCACCTCAAATAGTTTCTTTTTGGGAATATCCTATATGAGATATGATCGGTATTGTTTTCTTTACTATACACGGAATAGCAGAAGAACGAAGATCAGTATGAATTTAGACTATCATATGTTCGTCTCATCGACTCTACATGCTGTAATGTATCTCGTACATCTGTATGCACAATTCTACATCAGTGTAAAATCGCTTTGTTTCCAGCAGACTATACTGCTATGGCTTCTACTCCGCTCTACAATCTTAATTGAAACAGTCATTGTCGTATATTGCTAATTACAACTATAGCCTGAATTAAATATGCAGTTCTATTTGTCCTGGATACTCTGCTCGGCAGTAGGTACCAACGAGAAGGACATCAATGTGCTATCAGCCTGCGGACTCGCTGACACCATCTGATTAGCAGGTCGCTGGCTCAGTCGTGCCGTTGTCTTCTAATGCAGACGAATCCGTCGTCATCATCAAGGTGCCATGGAGCAATCATGATTCTTATGCCTGACGGAGTTATTGCTAGTTGGCTCCAACATATGACAATGCAACCTTTAAATGAGATCTCGTTCTAGTACCATCTTGAAAAGTGGTTTGAGTTGAGTTTTTTGTTTTTTTTTTTTTTGCTGAAACCTAGCTTTTGCATGGGAGAAACCAGCCATCTCTGAAAACAACAGAGCCTCCATTAAGCCTAGTAAACATGCGAAAACAAATGAAATGAACCACGAGCTTTATCCTAACTAAGACTGTGTACTCATAAAGTAAATTGCTGATCTTTTTTTCTTCTAACAACTACAACACGGGAGGTTTTGCTGCATATAGGAGACGGCTACTGCTGTAACCATTTGTAACCTGTACGGCTGTTATTCTATATTGCTTTTCTATATTTGTGCTCCATGAGCCACTAACTAACAAAATGACCTGCCGATATTTGTTTCCTTATTAAAACTCGTATCAAAAAACACTTTTCTTCTTCGCTTTCGATAGTAGACAATAACACCGAAAACAACTCGATTAATTAGATTATCTTCATAATAGATCTGTAAGAGAGCTCGGAGTTGAGTCTATAACTTTCGTTTGTATCCTTACAACGATGTTTGTCGGTGTGCCAAGCGCGTTAATATCGGATGTATCTTTTCTTTCTGATGCCATTCGCCTTTATATTTCCCGCTCCCACCTTTTGGTACTTTTTCGTTCATCGTTCTTGGCGTTCATAGCACGCGCAACGTGCATCATATGGACATCTAGTGGCGGCAGCTGCCACGCTGAACCTTAAAATTTATAGGGCTGTATGGACGCGTGCTCATCATTTAGCATTAGCTATGTTAAACGATTCCCCTGAATACCGCTGTGGGCATGGAGTACATGCTGCTTCGACGCAGCATCGATGTGTGATAGTTGTAGCTAGATTGCCCCTTTGGGAATGGGTCGCCGGGTTGCTGACCGAGCCCAAGTGTACAGTGGGTTTTTCGTCAATATGTCGTAGAACCATGGTAGTTCTTAAATAAGTCAAAGAGAACTTGAACGAAAATAGTTGCTGGGAAAACGGATTAAGGGGACAAAAGCGGTACTTTGAGCGGATGTAGGTTACAATTTTGTCAAGTACAAAATCAAAGCAGGACGCCTGCTCTTCACGTACCAGCGCAATGAGAAGAACCCGAAAGGAGTCTCAAACGAAACCCGACTCGACCAAATACACTCCAACCCAACTGAGTCAGGCCAAACTGTCAAACGCATCCATTAGTAAAGCAGACTCGATAGTTCGACAAGATCGAATCTTCAGAAGGCGCGTTTTTGTTAAGATACCCAGCCAGATACCTAACACTACTAACTATGGCAGTCTATAGTAGCCTGCTGCTAAGTAAGCCCATTAGACCTATACCAACGTCTCGATTCACTGTTCTGCTGCTCCCAGTAGCCTTTGGATCGTCATACATTCGAAGACTTTTCGGATTGCGCGGCCTGCTCGTGCTTGGCTCTGCTGAGCGGCTACAGGATCGAAGGCAGTCCGCTTGCTCATCGCTCTGGTTGACGTTTGCCTTCGCCTTGTCTGAAGCCTGCTTGCCTTTTCGGTCTGCCCCGGCTAAAGGGAGCGCCGACGGTGTATCTGCTATGACGTCAGCAGGCGCATGCGCCCTACCCGCTATCACCAGCGCTGCTGCTGGCGCCGCTCGCTTACTCCCTCGTCTTATGTGGACCGAGGCGAAGGTGCTCCGAAGGGCCTTCTACACTAGGGCTGGAATGAAGTTGGGTCGGAGCCAGGGGGAGAAGGGGCGGCGAGAAGGCCCTATGCATTCGAGTGCTGCTGCTGTCGCTGAACGCTGGCGCTAGCAAGCAGAGCAGCGCAGCTCCGGAGCGGGAACCGCGTGCCCGCGACTGGATGGGGCACCCGAAGAGAAAGCGAGGGACAGAGAGAGCTCCGTTATAGATGGCCTAGGGCCTGCTAAGGCCGGAGCTCGAGCTCGAGTAGTATAATGGCGAAGAGGGAGATGGCGTTCCAAGGGGAAATGGCTAGAAAAAAGGAGGAGGGGGAGAATAGGCAGCAGTCCGCAGCATAGCTACTATGCTGGCTGCCGTAAGGCCGCTGTAGTGCAGCAGGCAGTGAACTTAGACTCGCTCGTTCGCTGGCTGGCGCTCCGCTAACGGCTAGTGGGTGGTAGAGAGCGCTATTGGGTGGCTGGCCCCGGCTCTCTCTTGATTTGCCTCCTGCTGTCGTTTTAACAGCAGCAGCAGCATACTCTACACACATACGCAGACACATACACGAGCGCGTAGACACAGTCAAAGGCAGACACACATATTTGATTCAAACCAAAATGGTGGACAGCACTTTCAGCTGCTGCGAGCTGTGTCGTGCAAGTGGCGATGATGGTGGCTGCAGCGACGTGCAGTAAACCCAGCCCGTCGCTGGGTGCGGACCAATCCCATGTCCCACAGATCCAGTCCGGCGGACTGGCGTGATCGTGGTGTGAAGCGGCCGAGCAAGTCACCGCGTGAGGCGCGACCGTAGACGTTTACGAGGCAGCGTCTAACAGCAGCTGGCCATTTGCCGTTTTACTATAGACAAGCACGTACGCTCTGCCGCCACAACCAACACTGTCGTCGTTGTGTAGCAACGGAAAAACCGTCACAGGTGATTACAATTGTGTGTGTTAGCGTTATCAAGCACTTCTTTGTTCGGTGCTATCGGTGAATGAACAACCAAACCCCCCAGTGCAATGTAGAGGCGGTGGGCGGCAGGTAGAGAGGCAAGCAAGCAAACAATCAAGTAGCAGCAGAACTGACAAGACGAACAAGTTGAAACCAAAACAGAAGGGAAAAAATACGCAGTTAGAAAGTGGCGCAGGTCAAAATCCTATCAAAAATCTCGGATGCAGTCGAAGACCAAGAAGCGTTTCGACTGGCCGGAAACAATCTAAAGAGAACGCGAAGCCAGTGAGAGTAGCGTTTACACTTGATGGAAACCGCTAACGGCGTGCTGTGCTAGTTCAATCAATGCCCCGCTAGTACCCCGCTACCAGTGAATAACAACGAGCACTCGCGACCCCCGAGCCTGCGCTGACCACTTCCACATACGATGGAAATAGCGAAGGTAAATCTCACAGCAACAGTAGCAACGGCAACGACAGAAACAGTGGCCATGCCCGTCGGTCTGTATTTCTCGCGAAGGCCAATACGAGTCTAGGGAGAACATCATCGCTGCTCATCGATATGCCGAGTACCCGACACGCAGGAAGTCGGTTGTCTCGTGCATGAACCCATCAAGCGGTGGTCTACGGAATAAAACGTTGCCCAAAACTCTCTACAACCTTCCCATACCGTAACCAGACAAGCAAAATAAAAAAAAAAAACGCTTCTGTTGGTTAACTGGCTCCATGCTATAAGCCGTCATTGATCGGTGCTTAGTTCATCGACGTCAACGATCTCGTGTACGGATGCGTGTCCTTCGGATTATCAGATTGTTCGTTGAATCGTTGGATTAACGCAAAGTGTTACTTCCGGGATTCGATTGCCGCCAATACAATGACCATAACGGTAATAGCTGTTACAGACCAGGTGTCCTGGCTTTGCTGGTAGCAGCCACAGCAGTTTGTGACAGTGATGCATGCTGGTCAAAGTTTTATTATTGGTCATACAATGGCAGAGTGCCTGCGGGACCGTAATTGTATCTAGCCGTCGTGTGTCACTAGCGCAATGTGTTCCGCCAGTTCGCAATTTTTTAACAGCAACGTAAAAAAACAAACTCGAAGCGCAGGTTTGTAGATTTTTTCGGGTGCCACAGCACAGCTAACAAGAGAATAGGTGATAGAAAGAAACTGTCCGAAGTGCCACTAAAAGTCTACCGCTCCATAGACAACACACGGATGTATATGCTATTGTAACCGTTACTATTACGAGCCATTGTCGTAGCTGATATCAGTTCAACGTGGAACCGGCAAAAAAAACTGAGAATTCTAAATGGCGCTTGAAGTAAGGATTCGTCGTGATCAACTATCCATCTCAGCTTGCAGCGTTCATCTCAATCAATAGCAAGAATACAACAAGACTGCAACGGTATCCCAGTGCACAATGATGAACTATCTAGTAGCCTAACGGATCAAATCATTGGCACGCTACTCATCAAGGCTCCTGTGTCCTTTTACGAGCAATTCATCAAAGGTTTTTCGGAATTATTCACCATTAAGCAGTTGAACAAACAGCGCACAGCAACGACCCACAATAACTACTTTATTTTTGAGGTGTTCGACTACTATTTGTGAATCAGTGTCTCAATCTGTGTTCTAATATATATATATATATATATATATATATATATATATATATATATACACATATATGTACGTATATTTGTGGAAATTAGGGAATACGTCTGTGCCGCCTTTGACTAGTATGCCCCCAGTACTCGCCTCCCTCCCCGGTCGATCGACGATAAGGACGGCAACACCAGCCGCGTGACTTAACGGTTCCTGCTGCACAGCCAAGTGTCACAAAAACGCTATACGTGAGCTATTTCTAACTGGTAGGCGCTGTGCGCTACTAACCAAGGAGCAGGTATAAGGGCCCGCTGTAGTTGCTGCCGCTTTTCTTAATACTGTTGGAGCTGTTAGCATCATACGCCTTGATCCTACATTCGTTTTCTCGTAGACGCCTGCGTCCTGCCAAGCATCGAATCCCTCATGGTAGAGCGGTTGCGAGATCATCGTCACGCAGCGAACAGTGCAGTCGAAAGACTGGCCATACGCTTCGACTAGTTCAACGGTTGAATCGTTGAGTTATCTGTTCGTCGCTAGCCGTGAGTCTTGCTCGGTTCTAAAACGCTGAAAAGAGATCAAAGATAGTCACAGATTCATAAGAAAAAGAGGAATTCACCACGAGCCAGTATATAGCAGAAAAAAAACAGTGCCTGTTACAGCTAGATGTGAAACAGTTTATGGAGCGCGAACAGGATCGAAGTAGGCACCACAGGATAAATTAAGCAGGCGCTGTAAAAGGATTCAATGGTCGCTGTATAACGATATAGGAAACCGAAACCGAGCGACGTCTTTAGTAGTGGCAGTGGTATAGCCAGGCGTAAAGTATCGCGAAGTACGTCGAGAAGTCTCCGAGCGTTGAAATTGCGCGTGTAAATAAGCGGGAGGGAGATTCAGTAAACACTCTGTTAGGACCGCGCTGTTACCTTACAATGGATGCTGTGTTTTCTCGGGTTACCACATAGGTCCAATTAAGCTTCGACCTGCAGCCCCCATTATAGCTCAATAGATAAAGTATTTACCTACTAATATTAGCGACTCGTTGCTATCTAAGTTCGAATCCGGGCGTAGACACGATTTGTTTCATGCTGGGAACCGGCCAATCGTCTGTCCGATGGAATACCTGGCTGGCAGCGATACCGGACGAAACACTGAGCCTTCAACCTTCAAGCATACGACTAACTGATAGGAAGGCCAACGTGGTAAATCGAAGTGTATCCCAGTGAGTAAGTTTGCTGTTCGTGGAACTGTGATTGTTTCTGTTCGAAGACAGCGAAGGACGAAAATATGCGAAGAAAACTGAAGTGACGACAAATATATCTATATTTCACTTCATCATGGCCACTTAATTACGATGGAGAATATATCTGCGTATGATCCGCGCCATAACAAACAAATAGATACGTTACTAATTAAAATAATGCGCTGCCATTTCCACAGCTGCTATTGCTAATTTTCTGTTTGCTGCTGAAGCAAAACGAGAAATAGAAACAGAAGGATCTTGAAGCATAGCTGGCAGCGACAGTCGAAACAATAATTTAGGAAAACGCGTAGAAGCTAACAAACTTTACGGATGTTTGTATAACGCACACGACTGCTTGTGCAATGCCTCTGAAGCCTTTGAATATCGCTGACAGTATGGTACTACACCTACACGCATTCTACGACGTCAACATGGACAAAATTCGCGTCAAGCGTCAACCATTGCGGTGAACAATAATGCAATTCAGTTGTCGCATTAGGAGAGGTCTTTGTCCTCAGCGTGCACGGATTTTACCTATTGTCAAAATACGTACCGCTATTAACATCTATAAAAGATAAGAACCAACAACCACAAACGACAAAGATACATAACTTTGTGTGCACAACTAAATGTAATGATAGTATTATAGATACAGAGGGCAGTGACTTCGGTAAGAACTATAGACAGACAAAATACAGACAGGCATCCGTACGACGAGCCGTCCACTACGGACAACACGAAGATAAAATAAAACAAAGCGCGTGTTAGCTTATATATATATATCTACATACATATATATACACATATATATATATATATATATATATGTATATATATATACATATATATATATATGTATATATATATATATATATAAGAATTAAAAACAAGCAGTTAGACAACAGTAGGCAAAACACAAGACAGAAGCAGCGTGAAGTATCACTGATACAAAGGCCAGGATAGGCAGGACCCCCGAAAGGAGACGAGAATGATCCCGTTGATCAGAGCAGAGGCGGAGTAGCCAAGGGCGAAGGCAACTCTTCCGGTAATGCGCCGTGCCGTAACTACAAAAGATCAAGAGCAGACGACGAAGAAGAATATATAAACAAAAGACGAGGAAAGAACGAAACAAGCAATACCCCGCACAGAGATCCCTACGATCCGCCGCCTGAAAGAGAGAGCCCGTTTAGCGTTGTTGTTAGCGTCAGTGACTTCATTATTACTGACAGGCACAACAATAATAGCAGACGACGATAGCAGCAGCACCAACAAGAACAACAACAACAACAACAAAATTCCAAAAAAGACGTATCGCTGTATCGTTTACAACGTAACAACAACAAGAAAACTCCTTTGTCACTTTCGTTGTGGGAGAACGACAATGGTGGTAGTATTTATAAAATTATAGGAATCTAAGTATCGCGTATTCAACCGTTTCACAGAAGGTGTTATAAGCCTTACTAGATATACATCTTCTAATGCCAGGAAGACCTAGTGTGTATTCTGCTAAGAACGAATAAGACAGATTGTGTTACGATTGTGAGATCAAGATTGAAGCGAAACGTGGTAAAAAAAAAAAGCAGAAGGTGGCTTACTGTAGCATCAGTACTGATTCCGTCGGAGCCAGTGGCGTTCTCAGACGAAGACGAGACCAAGAGCAGACGACGCGCAAACAAAAAGATAGAGAACGGTGCAAAGAAGTCAGATAGCAACGACGCAACTTCGACTGCAAAACGTACGTAGCGTCCGAGGGCGCGTCGAAGCGCCTACACAGGGCAGAATGTAGCACTCGTATGACAATGGTCCCCTGCCGGACTTACAGAGGTGAGTTGAACGGAGCGCTGCAGGCGATGCGGTGGCCATGTACAGCTTGCCCTACCGGGCATAATTTGGGCGCTTCCTGAAAACCTCCTACCCAGAAAACCGCAACTAAAATCTTGACGACAATAATAGTAAATAACAACAACAGCGACTACAAGAAAACAAGCAAAAAGAAAGTAACTAAGATGAAGACTAAGGAGCTATAATATCAGTAATTATCGTCAACGTGAAGTTGTTACTAACGGCCGTTAGGTGTCAAAAGTCGATATACAACGTTAGCCTTTACGAAAATCCTTCGTCGTTCCTGGCTAAACTGAAAGAAGCCGTTGTTGCTTAAATCATTAAGACCGCGTGACGAATGTGCGCAGATGCCGAAGTACAGGGGAACATCTGCGGGTACCGGCAAGAACGCTAGATGGCCAGTTGACTCTCGACGGCGATTATAACCAATGGTGGTGGTGATCGTAAGATAGGCCGAAAAGCAGGGGTGTCACACAAGCAGTAGAGACAAGTAAAGAGATGATTCTTCATTGGCTTCACTAGCCAGCTGGTTTCACTAAAAGGTGGCCAGTGTTGGGCCAATGATTGGCAGAAATCGTTTGAGCTTTGTGTCGGAGGTTTCCCGGATTCGTGATTTGAACAGCAAGGACAAAACACACTTGACCCTTAGCCTTTTCTCCACCACTTTTGCCGGTGGCAACAGGAACGACGAAACAGTCATACAAGGACAGCTTTTGCTACTGTCGATTGTACACGTCTCGCTTCGAACAGATTTGCCCCAGGACGTCCGAACCATAAAACCGCCACCCAGGCGAATAGAGCAGGCGCCGTGCGCCATCTGCGAGCGCCTCGCTCGTTGAGTAATAGCGTCCGGGGCGATCGCCGGAGCAGACGAAGGTTGGCAGCCGGTCTCCTCAAACGCCGTGGTCGTGTGGAGCGGTCTGCCGCTCCCGGGCCCCTCGCCCGCACCGAGGCTGGCCACTGCGTCGGCGGCCCCCGCTGAGGCGGCGGCCTGTCTGAAGCCGCCCACTTCAGCTGTTTCCGCTGGGGCGCTTCATGAGGGCAAAGTCATAACAGCAACGACAACTGTTCGTACGGTAACAGCAACAGCAGACTACAACCAGAATCACGACGACAAGAGTAACAATAGCAATGACAATAACAGCAAGAGGACCGTCAGTAACGGATCAACGAGGACAAGAACAATAATAGACCGCGCAGGTCAACAGAAGGCAGACGGAACACAAGGAACGACGACAAGTACTACTGCTATAGCTAATATTAATACAACAACAAATTCGTCTATTATCAGTATTACTAATACTGTTGCTTCAGCTGATGGTACATCTATAACCGGGCCCATAATCGCTACATTGAATACAAGAAGGACTATTACTACATCTACCACTACGGCAAGTGCAACCAGGCCCGTACCGTCAGATGGCGCTGGTATAGCAGCCAGAAACAGTCCAGATTGTTCGCCATTCACTGGCGGGTACTTCTGGTGTCAACCAGGACCAGGCTGTTGGCAGTGGTCTCCATTAACGTCATCCGTGTCTGTTAGTAGCGCGAAAAACAACAGGTTGTGGAGCTATTGCAACGACGACAGCAGGCGCAACCGCCACAGGCAAGATAGCCAGAATCATCACCAGACAGATAGAACAAGTAACAGTAATTACAAAGGACTCTCGTTCGAGCGTTCGCTATCTTTCGACGCTAACGACGACAGCGGCAGGCGAAGCACAGCCGTCTTGACGAAAACGCGTGACGGTTGGCCGCTATCGTTAGCTTCAGCGTCAGCCGAAACGCACACCACGAAAACGGCGCCGCCAGCAACAGTTACAAGAACAATAACTATTGGTAGGACGGCGGCGCTAGGCACGACTTTCACTCACGGGTTTCGACGTGAGTTAAGCTTATTTTGTTAGCGGATCTCGTTAGGGAGCTCAACGCGGTCGCGGGGTCGAGGCCGGCAGGCGAGGCGGCGCGGGCTGGCAAGTAGCCCTTTGCGCTGCATTCGCCTGTGCGGGCCTGAAGGCACGGGAGGATGAGCAACTGTCTGGCCGGAGCTGGAGGCAGCAACCAACCCGATCTCAGCCACCTGACCGCCGAGGAACGTCTCATCATCCAGGAGGTCCTAGCCCGCCAACGGGCTGAGGAACAGAAGGAACGCGATTTGCTAAAGTAAGTAATACTGCTATTTAGCTTACTGGATCTTGTTAACAAACGACGCAATAACAATGATAAACAAAGCGAAATGACAGGCCGCGAAAAATCCCGGGGAACAGCGTTAAATTTAGGTTGTTTTTATCGTTCGAAAAAGCTAGTCTATATCTGCTGGCTATCATAATGCTTTGAGTTTCAAAGCGCAACATCAAGATGGCAATAAGTTTGAATTTGATGATCTTGTTGAAACAAGGTATGCTTAATTTATGGCCGCTGAACTGATCAGTTTGGCATGGGCTCAGTTGGGACATTTTTAGCAGCGAGTCGTTTGCTCATGCAGCTCGTTGAAGAGGAATAGGTCCTCGACGTGTTTTTTTTTTTGGGGGGGGGGGGGGGAGGTTTCCAACGCGATCTCGGCAATTCTATGGATGAACATACACCAACAAGGAGTTCGTTATTGAAAACATTTGAAACTAACCGATGTTCCCTGAAATGCCTTCAAGTTTCCAGCAATATCTACGATTTTAGCTTATTTCAGCGGATATGAAGCCACCAGATGTTTTCTTAGCGATTTTTGCTTATTCGCCCGGTATATTGAGTGTAATCGGTTCTAATGTTGTTTTTTGTATGCTAAAAATAGAAAATATTGCGATTTAGCGTATCTGTCGTATGTCTGTAACGGCGTTTTATAAGGAGATAGCCTTAGATACGTATTAAATATTTGTACTACGACGTACATATTGACCATCTGGCATTTGCTTTTCATCCGTAAAGGCTGTTGACTTTCTGACATCTGTGGTGTTTATATTAACTCCAATGATCTCAACACGATACTTAATCAGAATATGTATATATATATATATAACACTGGAATTAGAATTTGGGTAACTTGGGTAAGGATACGACAAATTTTGCAGTAACTTACACTTCATAATATTTCCATTATTTTATAACTGCGTGTCAAAACTCCTTTTATACGGCGTCCTGCTAAAAATCTGCTAAAAAAGAGCAATTTTCGGTCAATTTTTTCTGTCTGTGTAACAATATGTTTTGCACACATTCGCTCGTTCATTGTTTATGAGAATCATACAATACGTATTCATATCGCTTAGAAAAGCTAAATGGGAAACGGGAGCAGTGAGATCGTGTGAGGGTATGAGCATTATTTGTATGGCCATACTCGTCACAGTCGCCACTACGATCATCATCGAATAGAAGTCAGGCAGAAGGCGTACCCCAGCGCTGCTTCATAGACCGAACCGGTAGACGAAGAAGAGGCTGTCTTCCATCGCCGTTATCAACCCCGTTGTCAAACGGTCGATCCAGGCCCGCCGAGATGCGACAATGAGCCTGCTCCGCTCCATCGGTCTCCCTATCCTTCAGACCCTTGTGTGCCCCCTCAGATTATCAAACGAGTTTTGTGTCGGTGGAATTCCTGCCTATTGAGGGGGCACGGGACCGCTAAGAAATTAAGAAATGAACGACCCACTGACTTTCAACCTATAACTCCACGGCAGTCACAGAATTGGCTGTGGCGGCAGCAGCGGGGACAGGTGGCAGAGTTGATCTGCTGGCCCTCTGCTGTGCACTTCATAAAGCAAATGTAGGGAAAAAGGGGCGAGGAAAGTCAGAGAGAAAAAGAGAAACATAGAGAAAGGGGAGCGAAGGCAATGGGAATCGGGAAAACCAATGGCGAGCAATGAGAATGCAGAGTGGCCGTCTGGAAACGAGACAGAGGGGCTTCAGAGAGAAAGGGGGATATGGAGAGAGACGGTAGGGAGCTAGGTTCCCGCTCATGTACGAGGGGCTGAAGGGCGATCGCGTGAGAACTACCTGCTAGCTACGAGCAGAGGCGAGCCAAGCAGCGTTTAAGCAAACCTAATCTAGCCTATACAGCTGGCCTAGAAGGATAAAGTGAAAAGGCTGAACTCACCGCTGTCCGCTTGATACCTGTCGCCTGCTGATTCTATGAGCACTGTGAATACGCGAGTGCATCTCGACAAGCAAGCTCGCTTCCCCTCTGCCAGCCGACAAGCCTGTCGGAAAAACGGTCCCCAGTCGGACGGAGGCAGAGGCTGAGCAGAAATAGTCGCCGAGTTCCTCGGCCACTTGCACGTGTTCGTCGCTGGCACGAATATGAGATTGGAATCCACAGGGGCGTATGCCTACTGAGGCGGGCGGTGAAGCCGGTGGAAAATGCTTACTAAGTTGCTAGAGCCAGTCAGGTCGGAGCCAACTCTTTTAAACTTCGTCCGCTCTTCATTCTTGTAAATAGTCCCTTGAACAGCAACTTAGCAGCAGTTATGCGGCAAATGTATTAAAATTTCCCGTCTAAGTATTCTTATTTTTGCCCGCCAATGGTGATGTATGTGGTCTGGCATTGTGATTGTAGAAGATGAGGCTTTTTTGGTTCCGGTCGATCTTTTTCCAGTGTTTTGTGGTGGTCTTCTTAGTTCTCGAGAATAGATGTTCGAATTTATTGTTTTTATCAGCAGCGACCGCAAGTCATAATGCACGGTTCCTGTCTAACTCCGCCAAATGCATAGTGTAATTTCCTTCGACGCAAGTTTTAGCTTTATTTTAGATCGTGGAACGCATTTTTATTTTATTTTTTTGCATTTTCACATTGTCGTATGTGATCCATTCCTTCATTACGCGTGATCAACCACTTTACAAAGAGCGTTATGTTTCCGTAGGGTTCCGCAGATGGTAATACGATCGAGTAAATTCCTTTACATCAATCTGTGCGGCACCCAAACATCGGGCCTTTTGCTTTGAAACCAGTTTTCTTTACATGATTTACCTGCTCCATGGTGTATGCTTAGTTCCTTAGCGTTATAACCGCTATTAAGACGTCGGTTCTACAAAATTTGCAATAATTTTTTCATCAGCTTTTTTCGACCACTAGGAAAGGTTTTTTCGCAATGAAATTTCCAGGACGAAAACAACATAATCACCTTTGAACCGTTTCTTGACAATAAACAACATGCGTTTTTCTATACGCTTTGACAGGATTTGTGCTTTTTTTTATCGTAGTAAAAATGCAAAATATAACGAATTTTCTATGAAATTTCAGTCATCTCTAAGGTACTCTATCTCAAATCCTAGTACAGACATCGGACAGTTTTAGGTCATCGACTATTCCAAATCTCAGCTTTCAAATAACACTAGTGCCGACTCATTTTACCTGAGATATGTGACTTCAAGGCCATCTATCTAGGAAAACGGTCAATACCTTTTCAACAAGCTAATATTATTGCATGCCAGGGACTGGCTATTTCTAAACTACACGCATGGCTTAGGTTAGTAGGCGCTTGTCATTTTTTTCTCGTCAAAGGATATTAATAATTTTTTTACGAGTGCCTATAGATTTGTTGATGACACAAACAGACAGCATGATCTTCTAGACTGCTCTAACGCTTATCCACTTCGGTGAGTGAGTTTAGAGCCTTTTGGTTGTTATACTCTCGCGCAATGCAAGTTTTACAATGAAGACTAAAAAGGCCTTCTTTTAAGAAAAAATCGGTGCCGTTACGTTCTCTAAAATAAATGTTTTGAAATGCAGTTATTTGGGCCTGGGTTCCTTATAGATTTCGCACATTGGTACTAATTCAAAGGACTAGGTTTATCGAAGCAGAGTCCATATAAATGTCAAGGGTATCGCGTCCTCTTGAACCTAATATTTCAATTTCAGTTGTGCTTACAAAACGCATAACATTCACAATCAGGTAACGTTTGTCTCTAGATCAATTTTTTAGGTGCTTATAAATCACTTTTGAGATGAACTACTTCTAATTCCAGATAATTCAATGTATTGACATCGTGCTTGTAAGTTGATTTAGCAGTCTATTCTTACGAATCGAGCATTAGCACCGAGGCAGTCGAAAACGCTAGAGGCGTTTCATTCTGAAAGGCAAACGAAATGTGTCTCAACCTATTGGTAGGATAGGTTTTGTTCACATTCTAATGTCCCCATCGTGATACGTCTGCCGAAGCCTTCGAAACTGCTACGTGCGCAGGGTGCGTTCTATAGTTGGGCAGGTGCTCGACTGACTCGTGCCACTAACCCCTTCGTAAGATTCTACTGTATGCTATAGCACGAGAGAAGGGTTATAGAAACTCTATGATCAGTTAACTCCAAATGTCGAAAGCAGGTCTTGCGCGGAGACATTGTCTATATTAGTGGGATAAAGTCTGTAATGGCAAACCCACATCACTGAAGTGCATTGTCGTAAAAAAGAGAACCGAATTTACACTATCGAAAGATTGATAAAGGAATTGTGCAGTATAAAGCCTCATAATTAAACAAGAAGAAGAAATAACTGTTTCATTTTCTACGATAACAACACAATATATGTCTCATCGTTAGGGGACGTGTGCCTTGTTCCCGAACTGCAGTGTTTTCAATGCTTAGATATCTTGGACGCTTCGTCTTTCTAACTACTAGGTATACTTATTGTATCAAATGGGAAAGAAGTTCAGAACAAAGGAAAGTTACAAGGCCCGTCTCACGCCTCCAGCTCAACACCACAGAGCTCTTGCCTTCATCGTCTATGTAAGCCCACACAATATGCGAAGGACCCGCACAGAATATGCGTAGAGATCGACCACTATATCCTTAAACATCGCCTGCAGTATCTGTTAAGGTGTTACTGTTATCCTTGTGATTGCTGTTGTTACTAGTGGTAAATCACGCAGCTCACAAACCCAGAGCGTAGGTAAGGTGAGTGTGTACTTTATATTGTTTTAGGAAGGAATAGGGAAAACGCGAGGGTTAATAGAAGGAGAAAAGGAAGGAAGGAAGGAAAGGGAGAAAGCGAGCGGTCGGATGGGAAACGAAAAAGAAAGGACAGGGGAAAATAAAGCAGAGCTAGACTTTTCGTTTTTGTCACTCGATTACCTAATCCTTTACCATTTTTTGCTCACATCAGTATAAACAGACATCCCATCGGCTTGACTGTATAAGTCTGCGATGCCGAATCCATTTTTATTAAGCAATATGTATGTGTTTTTGTGTC